TATCCCCAGCACTTGGCACAGTGCCCGGACATAGTAGGTGCTTAATACATGTTTAATGATCGATTGAAGAGGATTCAGAAGAACACTGGTTTTAATAGACTAAAGTTACTCAGTGTTGCAAATCTCAGCACAGCATAGTACACAGAGAACTGGCCTTAAAGTCAGGAAGACCTGTGTTCAAATTGTGCCTCAGACACTTACTAGCTACGTGACCCTAGGTAAGTCACTTAACCTCCCTGTCTGCCTCAGTTTCCTCATCCGTAAAAGGAAAAGATTAGACTCAATGGTTTCTCAGGTCTCTTCCAGCTCTAAAATCTATAATCCTATGATCCCCTTAGTTCAGGTTATAACAAGTTAGTCCTGATAGTAGAGAATGAAATGCAAGAATAATTAGTTCCTTTTGGCATCCAGGGGGTTTATTCTTTTGAAATAACCATTTATCATATCCTCAAACCCCAGACCACATGATTTCCTTTCACCTGAAATATAGTGACAAGAGAATTGACCTAGGTTCTAAATGTCAGTGAAATATAATGAGCTTTTAATACTTAGACTGATGACTCAATAGGAATTGATCAAAACACATAAATTTTTGTGATTTTTTTGTACACTGCCTTCCATATTTATTGAATTTTATTTGGAAAAAATATAGATGGTGCATTTTAAAAGTAACCCTAGCGGCAACAACTAAACTACTTTAAGTTATACATAGTGGACATCAAAGTGAACATAATTTTCCAATTATTGTAGGCTGTAAAAATGATTTTACTGATGGGATGTATAAGGGTAGGGAGAAGGAGAAATCTTCCCACAGCATCTCTTCCCAACACCTAATGCATAAAGAATAACTTCCTAGAGCGAGTCCTCATCTAAGAAGAAGCAGGAAAAGTCTTTGAGTCAAGCTTATTGCCCCAGCTCCCAAAACCCAGAGCCTAAAACAAATCAGGCTGGGAGCAGGCAATAATTTTAATGTTTAAAAATTCATTAATACTAGTCAAGTATTTTTTTAAGTGACTAAGTCTTCTATCTGATCTCTCTGACTTCAATCAGTATCTTCCTCTTGCAATTCATCCTGTATAATGATGGCTGAATAATCATCCTAAAACATTATTTTGATCATATCATTCTCCCATGAAAAGCCTTCAGTAGTTCCCCAAAGGTTATGGGATAAATTATAGACTATCCTGACATTCAAGGCTTTCAAAATCTGATCCCAACCTACTTTTCCAACCTTACCTTTTATTACTTCATCAACTGATACCCTCTAGTACACTGCCTATCTGCCGAACGCCATCTAAATTCCCTTCTCTATGTCTTTGCTCTCCGTTACCTCCCCTAACTGAAATGTTTCCCTTCTAGATTCAAATACTATCCATCCTTCGAGGTCCAACTCCACCTTTTCCTGGCCATTACAATCCACAGTGATCTCACCCTCTTTTGTCTGAACTCAGCAGCATTTTTAAAATTTTTAATTTTAATATTTTATTCTTTTCATGTAAAATCAATTTTTAAGCTACATTTCTTTTCATAATTTTGAGTTCTAAATTCTCTCCCGCTCTCCCTCCTCTCCTTGATTAAGGTAAGCAACTTGATAAAGGTTATACACAGCACTTCTTAGGTAAGACTCATAATGTTAACTCTTTCTGTGTGTATCTTATCTCCCCAGTTAGACCAGAAACTCTCTTGAAGCAGGGACTGATATTTCTTTCTATCCTCTACAGCAGAGGTGTCAAACAAGGGCCTGGCTTGTAACTCTCCCAAGTGGGGAACCACATTAAAATGTAAGATAGTCACTGCTCTATAGTCTTCACTGTATGTTTATGCACAAAATCTTAACTGATGAATAACACCTTATTATATTACCTAAATCACACAACCAAAGGTTTTTAAGGCTACCTCAGAGAGATCCCCATTTTTGACATGGATTCTTGCCATGCTGTCCAGCCATGTCTTTCTGAGTTCCGGAGTGCTTGCATAGGACTTGGCCAAACTGTATTGGAGGTCCACTAGCATCTCAGGATCATTTTCATGCTCCTTCATTTGAGCTGTGGCCATTAAGACTGTGCGAATCCGTTTGGTCAAATCCTTTACATCAGATGAGAAGCTAGTGTGCTAAAATGAGAGAAGATGGACACACATAAGTCTTCATGGATTCAGTTCTTGGTACAAACACATCCTGGAGTACTGGTCACAAACTGAGGGTTTCTATTCACTCCTCTACAAAGCCAAGGGCAAGGAGGAACTTGGCTACCCACCTTAATAAGCCTGTCACTGTTGGCACAGTTATTGATGATGGAAAGGGACTGCTGGAACCTGGTTCCTCCAATTCCGACAACATCTGCTATCAGTTGGCTTACAGAAATGATAACCTTAAAGAAATACCAATGGGATCTAATCAATTCGCATTCAAATATCTACTCCATGAGACTGCAGTTTCAGTTATGATGTTTATAGAGATAGCATTAACTATTTTAACCAATGGTTCTTTGAATGTAGCTAAAAATATGTTAACAAAACATTTTTATTCCTTTAGATTTCTTCTGAAGGGTAACTTCAAATTCACTGGAGGACTTGTATAATGGAACTTGAGTTAGCAGAACATCTAATGACAAGAATTAGATATCTTAACTGGTAATAACTCATAAAAATTCACATTCTCTTTTTTTTAGTGACTTCTTATTTTTTTCAATTACATGTAAAAATAATTTTTAACTTTTGTTTTTTTACAATTTTGAGTTCCAAATTCTCTTCCACTCTCCCCCCACTTTGAGAAGGCAAGCAATGTGATAAAGTTTACGTATGAATTCACATTTTTCTAAGGCCTTAAGGTTTACAAAGGGTTTTCTTCCTAATACAGTAAATCAATCAATCAACAGTGTTTGTTAAGTGCACTGTTCCAGATGCTAGTGACACAAATGTAAAGCATGGAACGAGGCAAGAAAGTAGGGATATTATTATGAATCCTATTTTACACTGAGGAAGGGAAATGGAATAAGTATTTGTAAGTACCTACTATGTGCCAGGCACTATGCTAAGCACATTATAAATATTATCTCTTTTGATCCTCACAACAAAACTGCTATTATAGGTGCTATTATGATCCCTTTTTTAGAGCTGGGGAAATCGAGGCAAATTGGGAGTACAGATAACATTGAGCTTCAGGAAGATTAGGTAGTTTATAAGATCATGATAATGTGGAAAGAATGCTGAACTTGGGAGTTGGGAGAGACTTGGATTGGACTTACATCTCTTAAAAATGTACCATACTGGGACAGCTAGGTGGCGCAGTGGATAGAGCACTAGCTCTGAAGTCAGGAGGACCCGAGTTCAAATTTGACCTCAGACCAAACACTTGACACTTACTGAGCTGTGTGACCCTGGGCAAGTCACTTAACCCCAACTGCCTAAAAAAAAAAAAATGTACCATGCTGCTGAAAATCTCTGACCTTGATTTCCTCATCGGTAAATTGAGGACATTACCCCTGGTACTCTACCTGACAGAGGTATTGTGAGGGTCAAAGGAGACTATGTGTGTATGGTAAACCCTAAAGTCCTACAAACATCCTACAACCTATTAAATTACTTACCCATGTTCAGAAAGTGACTGAATTATGATGTGGTCTTCTGACTCCAAGGTCAATGTTCTTACTTAGTCAACAGTACCTCCACCAAACGTTATTTGTACATTTACCAATTGCCTTCCAAAGTTTAGTGTTTTTTTGGGGGGGGGGGAGCAGGGGAGAAGTGGGGTGAGGTGAAGTGGAGGTAAAGACACTCCACTCCCTTTTTTTTTGCAAGTTCCTCGAGGCAGTCTTTTATCAAGTCTCCCACTTCATCCAGGGCCATCTGCAGTTGTCCTGATCTATACCTTATCACTGGACCCACGTGGCTCCAAAGGAAAAAGTGAGGCTGGTGACTTTATATTGCACTCCCTCTCTTAAATCTAGTTCATTTGCAAGTATCACCTTCCTGATGTCACGGTTCTCTTCAAGAAAGAAGGATAAACAACACTCAGGCAGTAGCATGAGCTGCCCCACTGGCGACCCAACTGGCCAGTTCCAATTGGGCTACACAGTTCTTTCCTTCTCTCCCTCTGTCCACACAGGGTATCATACCCTCATCTACTGTAGGTGTTCTCTCCAAAGGAATATAAATTTTGATCTTCTGATCACTGAAACCTCATAAGATACCTTGGGGTTTATGGACTAAGTTTTTTTCTTAACATGCCTTAAGCCCAAATCACCCTAGCTCTCATTGATTGGCTAACCATAGTTCTCAGCCCAAGCTCCAGTTGGGCGTGGTCATTGTTTGGGCCCCAGTGGCTCAGAGTGAATGTAAATACAATTGTTTCTATTTTGGCCAGAAACCCTAAGGGTCTTCCCCTCCCAGACTAATGTTTTGTTTTGTTTGGTTTTGTTCTGACTAGGTAAAAGAGGACTTTCTCAGCCTCATTTCTTACCTAGCCTTAATCACTGAATGGGCTTTGCCTCAGGCAAACTGAGACCAGGGAAAGACCTTAGCTTAAAAAGGTCAAGGTCTCCCATTACATCAGGGCCATCTCTAGTCCTTCTGATCTATATCTTGCCATTGGACTCAGATGACTCTGGAAAAGAAAGAGAGTCAGGTGACTTTGCACAGCCCTCCCTCACTTAAATCCAATTCACTTGCAAGTTATGGCATCACCTCCCTAATGTCAAGGTCTTCTTCAAGAAGAAGGACAAACAACAACCCTCCTTCACAACATAGTACCATGCCTCGGAAAGAGCTCCATAAATATGGGTGGAAATTAACAAATGAATAGAAATGGAAAAATTAGAAGGATTTCTATCATTTATATATGGAAAGGAGAAAGGACAATAAACATAGTATCTTGAATGATCAGCAAAAAGAAATTTAGAATTAACAAATCCAAAAACAATGGTAGTATTTTGGATAGCCAAAAGCCAGAAAAATAAAAGTAGGGGACAAGGGAGAAAAGGATGATAATTTGAGATCTCTTTTCCTTCATAATCAGTGTGCTTACTAGAGAAGCTCTTCACGGAAGATGGCATCATAATATAGTGCCCTTGATTTAGAAACAGAGCACCTAGGTTCAAATCTGGGCTCTACCTATTTGACCTTGAGAAAATTACTTATTCTCTCTTGGTCTCAGTCTTGCATCTTTAAAATGAAGGGGTTAGAGATGGAGCTCCCAGGCAGACAGGCAGAGTGGATTGAGTGCTGGGCCTGGAGTCAGGAAGAGCTGAGATCAAATCCTACCTTAAACATTTACTAGATGTATGACCTTGGACAAGTCACTTCACCACTCTCTGCCTCAGTTTCCTCAACTGTAAAATGAAGACAACAACAGCATTTGCCTTCCACGGCTGTTGTGAGGGTCAAATGAGATACTATTTTTAAAGTGCTGGCACATAGTAGGTACTTAATAAATACCTATCTCCTTCCTTCCTTTTTTTATATCTAAGATCTTTTTTTTAAATATTAAATGGAATTCCCAAGACTTGAGCTAAGCATTTCAGTCCATTTTACTACATTGTCTCAACAGTTAAATTACAATAATAATTTCATGCTAATTCGCGCAGAATTTGGGAAAACAACAAATGAGATTTAGCCAAAATGGCATTTTGCCATTACAATAATACATCTTTGGAGCCAGAATATTATCATTTGAAAGAGGAGACAGATCAATAAATAGGACACTCAAATTATCCAGCTAAAATTTAAGAAATGAAAACAATACATCACACTCACTTGCAGATGTGTCCTCACAAAGGACTTTTTTCCTGTGTAGTCAAAATTATTCCTCATTAGGAAATACAGCAGCTGGGAAGCATCAGTACGAATGGAGCTCAACTTGGAATTACAGTACTTAAGGATCTCATAGCACAACGCAGCACACATGTCTGCCCTTCCTTCATAAAACGTAGAGGGAAACTGTGGGGAAAGGGGAGCCAATGCTGTAAAAATTAATGCCCAATAAATTGCCCTTGAATCTCAGATGCAGAAAATGGAATGCATAAATAACAACTTATCTCCATTAAATGGCTCACCTTGTAAATTAATGACCTTAAGGCAGTGAAGACATTTTTCAAAGCTGTCTCAGATTGGTGTTTTTGAAGAAAACACAGGTAAACATCAAAAACCTTTTTCATCAGTGGATTATGTCCATGATCAGCCAGCAGTTGGTTCTTAAAACAGATAGTCATAACAGTTACTAAAACAGCCCAGGAACCCCTGAGAATTTTGACAGTATTTCCAAGTAGGGGTGGGTCTCACTTTACACAATAGCCACATTTCGCAATCAACTGTGTAGAAATCAAAACTTATATTTTTTATCATTTATTTATATTATTTGTTTATAATATTACTTATACTTTAATATTACACTTCATTAGTATTAATCTATATTATTCATTTTTGATAATATTCATTTTACTTTATTATATATTTATATTACTTATTATACTTTATTATTATTATTATTATTATTATTATTATACCTTAAGATTATTATACTTTAAGGCAGATTCCTGAATTATCTTTTGTGAATGAGAGCAGCTGTTACAGAGGTGATAACGGCAACACGGCTCTTTGTCGTTAACAATTAGTAGTTGGAGTTTCAGAGGGAAGTCCCACAACTAATGTTCTCTAATTAAAGACTAAGTAAAAAGATTGAAATGTAATCTAGGAAACAAACATACCGACAGAGAAGAGGAACTGTGTGTGGCTTCTGAGTTATTTTAATGTTCTAAGTGGTACAAATTATTTTTTTTATTAACTTTTATTCTTTTTTTTTTTTTTAAGGCAATTGGGGTTAAGTGACTTGCCCAGGGTCACACAGCTAGTAAGTGTGAAGTGTTTGGTCTGAGGCCACATTTGAACTCAGGTCCTCCTGACTTCAGAGCTAGTGCTCTATCCACTGCGCCACAGAGCTGCCCCTATTCTTTTCTTAAAGAAAAAAACTAGAAAGCAAGTCATGATAGAAAGACTGAATGGTAGTTTGGGTAGTTCCAATTAACTTTCAAGATTTCCCCCAAACAAATGATTTCATTAATTCAGTATTTTCTAAGTCTGGCTAGTCAAATAATTGACATTAGTTGCCTAAAAATGCAGAACAGCAAGAAGCTTATACACATGGACTTTCTCACCTAAAAATGAGTATGAAATGGTCCGGCATTTTCAAGTAGGGACAAAATGTATACTATTTTATATGCATGTTTGCAGAAGCAACTATTGACCATTAGAACTGAACTGTCTACAGACAGACCCCATAATCCAAAATAAAATTCTAACAAAAGTCTTCCAAAGGAAGGCATTCCAAATTCATCTTACGGTTTGGACTAGCCAGGCAACAGATAGACACAGAAGACAGTAAACTATTGAAACTAGCTTTGTTGCAAAGTAAACCGGATGAAGCTACAGTTAGAGAAATTCAGAATTAGTATTTATCTGCTCAATTCATAGTGACTGAGTACATAAAACTCAATGAAGCAAAAAAAGTCATAGGATCACAGAACTGAGAGTTCAAAGGAACCTTAGAGAAATTCTAGTCCAACTCCATTTTACGGAGGAAACTAAGTTAAAACTACTTGGAGAAGGAAATGGCAAAACTACTCCAGTATCTTTGCCAAGAAAATCCCATATGGGGTCAAGAAGAGTCAGACATGACTGAAACAACTGAACTGAATTTGTTCAAGGATGAAGTCAGAGAATCAGTAATCAAACAAATGAATAATAAGGGGCCTTTTATAAAACTGAATCAGTTCCCTGAAGGCAAGAATATACCTTCAGATATGCTATGTTTTAATAAGTGCTAAGCTTCATAATTTTTTCAATTGATTAATATCAGACTGTTTAAAGGTTCATATTAATAAATAGGCCTCTTTAGGGACACAGGCTTTTCAGGCACGAAAATGAGATGCTAGAACAGTCCTATTTAAGAAGATATGTTATTACCTAAGCAATTGTCATACATGTTTATTCAGGTTGTTTTGTTTTGAGAATTCACTCTTCTAAAACTCATTTTTAGAAAAGCATCCTTCTGAGCAGCCTAGATGGCACAGTGGATATAGTGCCAAACCTGGAGCCAGGAAGACTCATCTTCCTGAGTTCAAATCTGGCATCAGACACTTACTAGCTGTGTGACCATGGGCAAGCCACTTCACTCTATTTACCTTAGTTTTTTCATCTGTAAAATGAGCTGGAGAAGGAAATGGTCGACCACTCCCGTATCTTTGCCAAGAAAACCCCAAATGGGGTCATGAAGGGTCAGACAAGACTCGACAACAACAAAAAAGCACCTTTCAATCACAGAAACAGTGAACTGACCTCACTTAACTGGGCTAACAGAGTCAACTAAGTTAAAAAAAAATCTACCAGTTCAATGGGTTTTTTTTTTAAACCAACTTCCTAGCAACTCACCTTTCAATTAGTTACGTGAGCACCCTTTTAATTCTTATTGCTCTCTGCAATTATATCTAAGTTTTTACAATGCAGTCCACATATTGTGTTAATTTATCACCCCATAAAGCTGTTTTAACAGAAATAAAAAGAAGTTTCACTAGAAGCAGATTATTATTAAAATTATTTTAGGAGCAAAGGCAGTGCAGTACTATGTTAAAAAGCAGGTTCACACTGGGACAGCTCAACATACTTGAAAATTTTGTAGGGGGAGAAACTGGACCTGGGTGATTAAGTAGAAGGAAATTCTAGATGAAGGAACCTCCTTTTACCAATGCAGGCCGGCACTCTCTTTTCAATTTATGGTTAGACTTAAGAGGTTTATTTAGAGTCTAGATTCTAGAGCATTAAGAGGTTAAGTGACTTAACTTAACACACTGACAGTAGGCCTCAGAGGTGCCTCACTTGAAAGAAGGGGGATCGTCCTGATTTTGAAGTCAGCCTTGTACCCTGTTCACCAACTACCTGCCTCTCTTTACAATTTTATACAGCATTTTATGTATCTATCTACCTATCTAAATCTCATATAAAATAATCTATGTATATAGATAGATAAGATACCATATGTAAACATACATATATATCTATAAGAAAGAATTATTCTAGGGTTGCATGAGAAATCTGAGCAGCTGAAAAGTGGTAATTCTGCTAACTAAGAGATTTAAAAAGCACTTTCCTTCTAGGAAATCAAAACATAGTCCTAGAGAGGTTGGTAATTACAGGCGAGGGGAGTCCTGGCTCTCAAGGTGATTCAAAGTGAGTATTTTATACTTGGGAAATCAATAAATGCTACAAGTCAGGGCTTGATTTGTTATTTTGTTAATTGTACAGACTTAAGAAAATATAGAGAAAATGGTAATAATGCAGATCAAACTGAAAAGTGAATCCTGTGTGACTCCCTCCCCACCTTTTTTTATTTGTAGAAGACTGATTGTTAAACATTTATTGGCACATCTCTGGCAGGTGTTACTGAAAGAACACTCATCTAACTCAAATACTGTTGAAGATACTCTCTACTAGAGCTCGAACAGGACTCTCATCTGATAATTCTGAACATTTTCTTTGTTTTTGTTTTTTAAAATTTACTCATTTTCTAACTTGCTACAGGTAATGTATCAAAAGTGTTCAACTTGGAAAGGGTCATTTATGACAGGACTGCTCTTTATTTCTCTGGAGGATCATTTAAGCCACATTCATGGTTTATAACTATCCTTCCCCGACTGACCTTGACCTGTGTGTCCTTTGAGGGCCTCCTAGTGAAGATCCCTATTGTTGTTATGTTCTATTAGCAAGAAAATCAAGACCTGGTCACTAATGACTGTTAGGAAAAATCTCCCTATGCCCAGGCCATAGAAAATCTCACAGATCTTCCAATTCTGAATAAGTGCAGTGCCACAGTGCCAGAGGTTGAACCTTTTAATAGACCAAGAAGACCTGACAAAGATACGCCCACAGTCCTAAACCTGCTTCTGCATTCAATCCTGCCTCCAAATCTTAGATCCCTAGCCACAGCCTTTAGCATTTTTTTTTGTAATGTGATGAGGAAGCTAGGACCTCAGTGCAACAGGTAGGCTATTAACAGTAGCAGATCATGATCAAGCTTTGTTTTAAGATCACCTAGCCCTGCTTTTTTCCTGGTCAGTAAAACAGTGCAGTACAGAGTGCTGGACTTGGGCCAAGAAGACCTGAGTTCCAATAATGTCTCTAATACCTACTAGCTGCATGACCATGGCTAAGTTACTTAACACATCTGAGCCTTGATTTCCAAATTGGTAAAATGAGGGGAATGGGACCTACGGTGACCAAGTTCATGGGGTTCTTGTGAGACTCAAGTAAGATAATGTAAGTATAGCACTTTTTATACCTTAAAACACCATATCAATGTCCTTTGTCACTATACAGGGTATCCCAAAAATCTTAACTGAGGGTTTTAAGCTAGGAAAGCTTTAAGCTTTTAAACCTTAAAGCTGTGCTAAGAATTTTGGGACACCAATCTGGTGGTAAGAAATCTGAATTCCCAGCTCATATATCCTAAGTCCTAACCATAATTCAAAAGCTTAAATTCCATTAACATCGTCCTTTTAACATAAAACATACATAATTCTGTAAAGGCTGTGGTTATAACTTCATAATTTATCCCTATCTTAACACAGTTGAAGGGATTAATTCTCAGACTAGAATTTAATATCTCCAAATAGCTGCAGGCAAATTGTGAGGAAGTCTGAGAAATGATTCTCTGTATTTCTGGTGGGTGTTCCCCAGACCTCACCTCTTATTGTTAGGTGCTGTCTTCACTTTACACCATTCACCTTCCTCTTTTTCTTTTCCTTTTAGATCAGCATACTTACTCAACAGCTTTGGAAACCGTGCATGTGTGTGTGTGTGTTTGTGCTTGTTTTAAAGGTATGAATGGGTGACAGGGAAGATGATAATTAGGAATGCAGGGTAGCTGATCTGTAGGGCAGGGAGCCAGCAGCTGTTGCCTAACCAGGCCAACAGGCCCTTTATACACCAATAGGCAATGTATAAAAAGTAACAAGAGTAGGGGGATCTATAAGTTGTTGGGCTCTCTGTTTGTTTGTTTGTTTTTGGACTGGCCTCTTGGTAAAGGGACAGATGCTGAAAAGAGGTAAAGCAAGAGATCCAGGTTAGAGGTCATTGTAGCTGACCTATGAAGTTCTGGGAGTTATGTTCTTGGGTGGTCCTCCCTCTGGGTCTGGATTTGTGTTCCCAAGTTTTGTATGTGTGTCCCTATGAAAGCCCTTTGCACTGGGTTGCCTGTAATCTTAATTATATAGAGTACCAAAGGGCTAGGAAGTGATGACTAATCAGTTACTCAGTTGTTTTTCAGTTGTATCTGATTCTTCATGACCCTATCTGGGGTTTTCTTGGCAAAGATATTGGAGTGGTTGGCCATTTCCTTCTCCAGCTCTTTTTACAGATGAGGAAACTGAGGCAGAGTTAAGAGACTTACTCAGGGTCACATGGCAAGTAAGTGTCTGAGGTCAGATTTGAACTCAGGAAGATGAGTCTTCCTGACTCCAGGTATGGCACTCTATCTACTGTGCTACCTAGCTGCCCTCGTGACAGATGACTGGTCACAGACTAGCTATAGCTATATCTTTGTTACCACTTTATAAACCTTTCCCTATTCCCACTGCCTATGTCTAGGTCTGAGGATCATGAGACCCTGACACTGAGGAGTTGTGGCATAAAAGTGTGGCTGAAGGCAATGGATGATTTTGACGAGAATTTTTAACTTAAAAAAAAAAGCCAAATTAAAATAGAGATTGAAACTCAATACACCAAACATAGCTCTCTTCCTTAGCCCCATGCTAAATACTGTTGTGGAGAACATCTATTCTTTATGTCTCCATTTTCTCATCTGTGAGATGGCGTTTAAAATAATGACTTAATTTATTGGGGATGGGAAAGAAGGGACAAATGAGTAATTAAAAAATAAAGGTTTTCAAAGCTAATACAAATACTTCAAGCCACCACATAAACAATCTTCTCCCCCAAATATTTTAATCAACTTAATTTATATTAGTCATCTCAGCTCAATCAGAGATCAATTAGAGATCTAGATTTAATCATCAAGTGACAAGAACATTACTTTTCGAAAACAAGTAAACTAACAGAGTAATTTGAGTCCACATTAAGGCAAAGTGAACTTTTCTTGGATTCTCATTCAAGTAGAATTGTTGGCTTCAGCCTTCACTGTTTATCATCATTAGCTGCCCTTTTTAACTTGGAAAAGAAAACAACCACTTAGTAAAAAAGGGATGTTAGGTTCCTGAACACAAGAACACGTTTGAACAAGAATCTGCTTTTCTTCTCTTAATTATAATACACCATGGTCTCATGATACCAGAAGAACTTAAATATTAATTTTTAAAGCATTTTAGAAGTTTCTTTCCCCACCTTTAAATATACCTTTTTTCGTTTCACTCAAAGGCTAAGAAGGTTAGACAAATAAAAAACGAACACACATTCATTTGTCCGAGTTAATTTAAATTATTTTAAGGCGCTGTCCTCAATTTAAATCTAGACTTTCACTGCATGCAGTATTTGGATTCATTCAAAAGAACAAAGATATACGAAGACAGAAATGCCTGATGAGGTCATTGAGTTTATCATCCCCTAGGGTGCAGTACTGTGGAGAAATGTTTCCTTTGGTAAATGTTTTGTTCTACTCAAGTTTTAATTACCTCCAGAGGCCGTGCTTCCATCATTTCAAAGCATGTTGTACAGACTAACAAATTAAGCTTTATTATATTTCAGGGAATTCAAGTCATTAAGCTGTAAAATGGTTTCATTAATGGTATTTATGGATTAGCAACCTCCCAGAATGATTTATAACTAACAAAGAAAACTAGCTGTTGGAAGAGCGGAACATCTTCAAGCAAGGTTCAAATCAATGAATGAATTTAAAACATTGAAAACTGATCGGGAAATTCTTGATCAAACAAACCTTAAAGGCCAACGTGAACAACGATAAAGTGTCCAGAGCAGTGAGGCAAACTTCAGTGGCAATGTTTGCTTCTAGTAACGACTGGTGAAGGACATCAGCATCAGAGTGGCCGTAGCCTGTGTGAATTATAATATGAGCATTACTACATAATGGGTTTGAATTTTGACATAAAGGCTTGTTCTAGGGGGCAGTGAAAGGACAGTCAACTCTGGATTTTTTTTTTTAAGGCAATTGGGGTTAAGTGACTTGCCCAGGGTCACACAGCTAGTAAGTGTCAAGTGTTTGGTCTGAGGGCAGATTTGAACTCAGGTCCTCCTGACTTCAGGGCTGGTGCTCTATCCACTGTGCCACCTCGCTGCCCCCTCAACTCTGGATTATTTATGGGCAAATTATCCAGGACCATTTCTCTGGTTCTTCTCTTGGAATGTCTGATTTCCTGAAGTTTGATTATTGGTTTACCCTCCCCATTCACCAGCGTTTCCACAGGAAGGAGAACACAAATTTATCCACGTAGCCACTTCAATTCAATGCAAATTTGTTATCTATTACGTGCAAGGCTGCTACATTTTCTGATTTTAAAAAATATTTGGTGGGGGAGGTCGCTGAAGCTATTGCTTAAATGAGACCGATAGCCATTTATGTAGACTATTGCCATCCCCAGTTACCGCTGATAATCTAGAGTTGACAGCATTGTCTCCTAGTTGCTGCAAGCCATCTTAAGAACAAGCATGAAAGTTACTTTCAGTGAAAGAAATGTTTAAGAAAAGGAAAGAACTTTTAGGGTATGAATATATGGTTTTTCTAACCTAATTGCACAAACAGGAATACATAATTTACTCTTCTCTTTATACAATGGTGAAACCAATTTTGTATTAATGTGAATGTAGTCAATTGGAAATTTGAGAAATTATGAAATGGCACACATGAGCAAAAAGGCGTTTAGTGATGAGAAGTTATTGTACTGACCTAGACAGCAAAGAAAGAGCATGTATCAACATTATGTAACTCCACATAACAGTGTCTTTCTCCAAGGACCTCAAAGAGCACTACAAATGAATAGACAATTTTCATGATACCCCAGGGAGGTGAATAAGTGGCCCCATTTTATAGATCAGAAAAGTGAGACACAGAATGCATAAAGAATTCTCAGAAGGTTAGTAACAGGATAGAAACAGAGCCTGCATCTCCAAATTCCTTATTCAGTTCACTATGTCCTAGTGCCTCTAAGTTATATAATTAGAATAAAATCAATCAGTTTAAGTAGCATAAAATGAGAAATTATGAATAAAATATAATAATTCAGGTGAAAGCCAGTTTTACATTGTTATTTAAAGAACCCATTATACAACTTCCTTTTTAAACTTCAGTATGAATTTTAAAATACAGGGACCTAAATATGTTTTTATTAAATTCCATCTTGTTTTTAAAAAGTGATTAAATTGCGAAATTTTAGGTTTTGTGCTTCTGTAAAGCAATATCATCACTGGTGTAACACATTTGCTAGATGTTCGTTTTTGGTGAATCAGAATCTTATTTGAGTTTTTCTTGTTTAATATTATATTCTGGCTTTCTTTTTCCTGTGTTTTGCAGCAAAAATGAATATGAATATATTTTAGGGTTTTGAATAACACTACCTTTGGTTTATGACAAGCCATCACTTCATTCTATGAAAACAGTGTGGTAATGGGCAGAAAGTTAAAAAGAAAAAAATCAAATTGATGTGAAAGTGGTTTTATATCATGGTCAGGTAACTTATGTATAGTACCTGTTCTTGGACCAACCAAAAATATCCTGCAGGTATCAGACTAAAGGGACCTTTTCTTAGGTGCTACAATTTCCCCAAAATAAATTTTAACTTGGATAAGATAGTAACAGGTAATTCATTTCAGTGACTTTGGGTGAGGACTATTCTTTCTCTGGCAGAAAGGTGGTACAATGGCTAGAGCTCTGAGCCTGAAGTCAGACAAGCTGAGTGACCTGAATTCAAATCTGGACCTGGGCAAATCGCCTCTCTTAAACTCTCTCAGCTTTGGCTTCCCCACTCGTGAAATGGGGATAATAAATAGCATCTATTTTGCAAAATCATTATGTGGATCAACTGAGACATTAGAAAAAAAATGCTTAGCCCAGTGCTTGGCACATAGTAGGCAATATATTAATGCTAGCTCCCTACACTCTTAATTTTTCCACCATTTGCTAGTGAGCATTAGGTAGGAGACAAATACATGCACTACAAAGAAGGCTTTCTCCCATGTCCAACCTACCCACACAAACATACAAAATGTTGAGACTCTACCTATAATTCCAATTTAAATCCTGGAAGAATGTAAGTACTGTGGGTCTAGTGGTAAACTATTAAAATATTTATAAATATATACTATATAAAATAAAGCCATGATGTATATTAACACACATATTTCAATTACTTGTTATTTCTTCAGCTTGAGAACTCCCTCCATCGTAGACTTTATCTATAACATGCAGGACTTACTATATTGGTCTCCAAACTGAAATGAACTGGGGTGACGGTACTGCGTGATTTTGGCAAACGGACTGTTTGCTGACTCTTATAATCCCTGCAGATCACAGAGAATTAGATACGATACTGACCACTGGCCTAAGCATAATCTTTGGTGGCATACATACCTTACATACCAAAACCACTGTTTTAAGGTCTCTAGTCTCCTTTGTCTATATGTACATGCAAACTAATATGCATACATATATATGTATTGTGCACTACATAATATGCACACACACATATCTTACCTACTTTACTAGCGAATTTAGTCTATGACCAATACTGCTCTACAGGAACAAAGAAACTGTGGAAACTGGGTATTGTTGCTTCAGTAACAAATTACTGCTATGAGCCACAGGGCAAGGGGGAAGGAAGAAAAAGGATATACATACATATCTTTATATATATATACACACACTTATATGCACGTATGTGTGTGTGTGTATGTTTTTTTCTAACTTATTTTGAGTCTCCAACTGTCTACCTGACTCCCTTTCCATAAACATATGGCTAAACGTACCTACATCATTTTTCTTTTCTATAACTTACTGTCTATAACCAAGGGGCTTTCCTGATCATCAGAGCATCTGGGGAGGGAAAACAACTCCCTAGGATCCTTTTGAAGCTTCCTATAGCCTTCCCTGAAATGAGAAATTTTTTTTCCTCCAACAGTTCAAAATGCCCGTGATAGACCCCGAAAAGAATTTCAAACAAGAGACGCATAAGATTTGGAGTCAGAGGAAGTGGGTATAAATCCCAGCCCTGCCACCGCCTTCATAGCCTTTATAGCAAAGGACTTAACCTACCTGGGCTTCAATTTTCTCATCTTAAAAATGACAGTGTTAGACTGGATGATTTCTGAAGTCCTTTTCATCACTGAATCTAGAATTTTATGATCTACAAAAGCATCGTTTAAACAGCATACAGCCGCTTACTGAAAGAAGCACCCCAAAACACAAACGTCCCATAAGCAATCTCCAAAAAACTTGAACATGTCTTAACTGAGGTGCTACTGTCACTGTGACATTCTCACTTAACTTTAACAGTCATGTAAAATCCCTCTTTTCTGCCTATTTACTGTTAAAAGCCAGGGCACTATGAATATTTTCTTTATACCTAAATGGTTGATAAAGAAGGTCATCGAGAATATGTATTCAAGCTGAAAATAGATATTATTATCCTTTTTTTTTCTCTAACTTGCACATGAAGAAACAAATTTGAGTCAAATGACGAGAAATGTGGTTTCCGAAAGGCTAAAGCAAAGATGTACTCTGAGATAAGAATATTAGGTGTCTCTGCAGGACACCTAAACTTGATTATTTTCCTGATTAGGAGACTTATGCATGCAAATGACATAGGATATGAGATACACTATAGAATAAAAAAAGTAAGCTTATAGAAAAACTCATCAGGCTTATCTTCCAAAAGCATTTTTGCTTTTTAAATGTATTTTTAAGAGACCTAATTGAAATAGATTCTCAAATTGCACAAAACATTTTTTATTTTGGCATGAATTTGCTAAACCTTTTCAGGCATCAATTTTTAAACTCCATCGATCTCAGTCTTAGCTAACTTCTTAAAATGTTTTTTTTTTTCCTGTATTACATAAAATTAAGACACTTGGTTCTCGAGGTCTAAATAATTATATTTATACACAGAGATGGTGACTATAGGTCTAGATGAAATTCAAACATAATATTATATATAGTAAAGAAACATGACATATTTCTATATAGTATAGTAAAGGTAACATGTGCATTCATTTTGCTCTAAACTCAGTGCAGATTTTTCTTATGGAAAAGGTTTTATATTTTTCTCTCATGACTCCAATTATGTCATTTGGCACAGATCTATCAACTTTAGAGATATCTAGGCGAAAAGGATAGTGTTACTTGGAGTCAAGAAGACCTGAGTTCAGATCCTACCTCAGACACTTACTAGCTGTGTGATCCTGGGCAAGTCACTTAATCTCCTCAGTTTCCCTCATCTATAAAATGGGTATAATAATAGTTATCTACCTCACAAGGTTGTTGTGAGGATCAAATGAAACAACATAAAGTATTTTGCAAACCTGAAACTGCTATCTACATAAATGCTAACTATGATTATTATTCTTAGTTTACTGTTATTATTAGTAGTATTATCAGTTGTTTTCAGTCATGTTCAACTCTTTGTGACCCCATCTAGGTTCTTCTTGACAATGATATGGGAGTGGTTTGCCATTTCCTTCTCCAGCCCATTTTAAAGATGAGGAAACTGAAGCAAACAGGGTTAAGCGACTTGCCCAGGGTCACACAGCCAGTAAGTGTCTGAGGCCAGATTGGAACTCAGGTCTTCCTGACTCCAGGGTGGACTAGACCACCTAGCTATCCTGCTATTGTTAGTAATTACAGGTGCAAATTATTGTAAATATGTTAATATAACCCACATTAACTTTTTATATGTCCTGGAAATATCTCAAAAGGGATTCGTGGCCCTCTCTACAGGCTTATTTACAGAATTCAAGTATATTGGGTTACAGGAGTATACTTACTACCATTAGACTAGGTGACCTCCCAGGTCTCTTCCCACTTTAACTTATGATACCTATGACGTACATACTTGCAATTCACATTATTTCTTGCCCAAACGTTGGGGCATATCTGCAGGCGTCATCTGCAAATGCAGTGAGTCTAATCTGACTTTTGCATAAATTAATAGTTTTTTGCAGTCCTCTGCTGCTACCTGGTGGCCACTTTAAAGTCTACAGAGGCCTCTCCTAATCCTCAGGCCTCTAGAGATAGATTGCACATATCCAAGATGGTGCACAGAGTAAGGGTGTCTCTTGGGTAACAGGAATAATTTTTCCCCCTGCCAAAATCATGCCAGATTTCTACATATATCTGGCAAGCCTCTCATGATAGAATAAAGAACTCTCCTTGTCTATATCATTTTGGTTGGTCCAACAGAAGGTACTGCATTAGTTATCAAGCAAGTATGGTTTTCCTAGAGAAACATGGTTACAAACCTTCCCAGCACATAATCATAGACAGAGTGCTTCAGGTTTGACATATACCTATACACATGTGTTTGTATGCATACATATATGTTATGGTCTTCTTGTTATTGGCTGAACTGATTTGGAGATTAAAAACTTAGGGGAAAGTTGCAGCCCCATGAAAATATCAGAACTAGAAGTTGGAAGATGAACAGCTGAACTTGAAAGATGGGCACAATTACTTGCAAGAAGTAACAGTTATTTTTGAATGAGCAGATGCTAGGGAAAAAAAGGCACTCAGGCTAAGACTAAACAAAACCACCTCTGTGTTATATATCAAGCATCAGGTAAAGCACTAGTCTACAATCAGACTTGGGATGAGTTTTTCTCACTATAAAGAAGACACTACCAAATTTTATATCAATTTACATTAAGAAACAAAATAAATACTCATATTTATAAGCCTGAAATGTCAGTCAATTTGAAAATGAGCCTTTCTGTATAGCTTTAACATCAATTATTTAATAGTTGTACATTCCTTTGTCCTCTGAATTTATTCTTATTTCAGGTTATAAGGACAGCGAGGTACAGGGGTACATTCAGTCTTCTGAGAAGACCTATAACTTTCTGCCTGAACAAAGTCTCTCTCAGCTGGCTCTTCCACTGTCCAGAAACAGAATGCCTGACCTCCCTGCGGCAAGTTAACCTTCTCCTTCATGAGATTTTCTGAGCAATTCAGTCAGAGAAAACCAGACTGATCACTCCTGTAAAATGACCTAACAAGCCAATTATGTGTTAAATAGTGAGTAAAGGCCTGATGGTAGTGATCTTTAATGAGGAAACAGTGAGTTTACCTCTACCTTCTCCTTAGGTCCCCTGTGGGCAGGATTAGAGGATGGGGGTACCTATTCTTGGAGTCAGTATAGAGTTGAAACCCTGCCTATGACAGGTAACTAAGAACACCTGAAATGGACTTGATTTTTGGAAGCTCATGCTGCTCAGATATGTCCTTACCCCTACTCAAGCACTGGCCACTGGATCTGCTTCTAACTGCAAGAGTTGTTTTATATTTTTGTGGTGTGGTGCCATGTGATTGTTTATGAATATTTTGTGTGATTGTTAGATTGCCTCCTGTCTTGGGAAGGGGGGAGGGAGAAAAATTTGGAACTCAAAATCTTTCAAAAAAATGAATGTTGAAAATCGTCTTTACAATTGGAAAAAATAAAATACTATTGAATTTAAAAAAAATTAATGTTTTGTTTGTCATGTGTGCCATTTGTAGTTTTGTCTTCTGTTTTTCTTAAGCTGTAAAATCTCGAGGTCGCTTTCCTCATCTTATAAATGCATCCCAGAGTTTAATAATTTTTTGGAGATGGACCAGACCTGTGATTTCAGTGACATAGGAAACATTTTCTTTCATTTCAGGTCGGCACTGTGCTTTGTAACTAACAGTCTGAGACAGTTCCCTAAGGCTCAGAGGTTAAGTCACATGCCTAGAGTTACATAGTCTATAGATGTCCTAGGCAGGGCTTCAACCCTATACTGACTCCAAGACCAGCTTTCTCCACCATGCGTGTTGTCCCTTCAAGCATTAATTACAAATTATTAAATGAAGGAATTAGTCTGCATGGAGTATCTTTGCCTCCTAGCTTCTTTCAGGTCTCAGCTAAAAACTTGTCTTCTGCAAGAAAACATTCCCAGTCCTCCTTAAGGCACTAGGAGAGGATCTCAAATCTATCCTGCATATATTTTGTGTTTCTACAAACATATATATATATATGTTTATATACACAGCACTCTTTGCATATTGTCTTCTCTTTTCCACTGTCAGCTCCTAGAAAGCAGGAACTTTTTTTGTCTTTTTTTTTTGTACTGCTAATGATTAGCACAGCATCTGGGTGAGCTCTTAGGTCGTGTTTGTTGACTTGATTAAATATAGCTACCTAGGTGAAGACAGTCCAGCAGATTTCTATTCTTTGCTAGATTTAATTTCTGTTTTCTAAGTAGGAAAGGAAATACAGAGGCAAGAAACTTTGTGTTATGATTTTTAAAAAAAATTTAATAACTTTGTCTTCAGGCCTAAAAGTATCCATCTCTAATAGACATTAGAGTGTGTGTGTGTGACAAGTTAATGCAAATTATTACAGCCTTAAGTCATGGCATTAATAGCCACTCTACGGGAAAGCAGGAATAACATAAAACATGCATTTTTGATGTTTCTCAATTCATTTTTTGACTGACTGACATAATATTGGTATAGGAGAATTTGAGTTTTAGCCTATGATTTCACCATGGCTCAGGCTGTATTAAAGGCATTTAAACTCTGCTGGAGTACAACAGTAGGGAGGTTTGTTACTTTCCATATATCTCCTCCCCCTTACAAAGGGGTGTCTTAAATTTGAACAATGGTGAATAAACAGAGCTGACAATGTTCTCTTTACTCTTAGCCTGTGTTAAGACGTGAGCATGAAAACCACAGCAAATGGAGTCTCCACCATTGGAAATAAACATGAACTAGAGAGAATATTTTTCATTTACATGTGAAACTTGTCCTAGTATTGAACCTTATTTGGAGTCATGCTCTCAGAGGAGATGGAGTAACCCGTGGGTCATACCCCTACCATGAATGGCATTGATTATAGATGGCTGTATTAGTCTTTGTCATGCTGGATGGTAGTCAGAGTTTAGGGTTTCTGCTTTGTGAACTCCTAAAGTGACTGTAAAACTTAAATTTGTAGGGACAATATACAAACACCATGTCCCCTTGGCTTGTAGATATAAATCAAACAAACTGCACCCCTCCCCTCATGTATTGGTAGAGTTTCTATTTTGAAGTTAGAAAGCCCCATAGTTAGGAAGGCAAGATGAACAAGAAAAAAAAAGTTTCTGTGCACAAGTGAAGCGGTCTTAGAAGCCGACTTCAACCTGATTAAATCTTACCATTGTCTACAGAAATTCCAAGCACACTTGATATCTTTCTCACACTGAAAACAGAAAAAGTCACTTCGTTATTGGGCGCTTTTCCACATCTACAGAAATTGATTCATGGGCTTTATGTTCTCATAGCAGTTTTAAGGATTAAAATACATTTTTTTTCCTCCTGGCAGAAATGTCAGAATGTGGAAACATGATCAATTACATGCACTTTGTCAGGGAGGGAAGGAGGAGAAAAGAAGGATCCCACCAGATGTTCTCAGCTCCTGCAATCACAATTGGTTCTTAACAAAAAGTTTAAAAGTACAACATTGAATTCCTCTTTTGGAACACAAATCCAAGTTAGTTGCTATAGCTAAAGATTTCAAACATGGATTTTAAAGACAAGAGAAGCTGATCAAGTCATTTTATAAATCTCTCTCTCTTTTTTTTTTTAAAACAGAAGAGAGGAGTGTGGTGAAAGGGTGTCTGATTCCTGGTGATTTATTGCCATAATTGACCATGCTCCACATTATGTCATTACCAGTGCTGACTTCATTACTGCAAAAAAAAAAAGGGCGGGGGTAATTGTGCCATGAGCTCGCTCTCTGTCTCTCTGTCTCTGTCTCTGTCTCTCTTCATCCCCATCTGTTTTGACCTGGAAAGAGAATCAAGTTTGTGACGTGTGCTCTGGTGTGGCCTGGGGCTCTCCCCTCTGATGTGCAGGATGAGATGGTCGCCTGTTACGATGGCACGTCATGGAACTTACTGTGGTTAAATGTGAGAGAGTTATCCAGGCTGCTCAGCTGCTGCAATCTGGCATGCATCATTCCTGTTCTGTTACGGGAAACAGGCAATGTCTGAGACTTTCGATCATGAACTATGGGTCCCAACCCCTCCTGGTTCCTGCAGTATGGGTGAAATGGGACAGAAGCAAAAGTTAGACTTGTTACACCGCAGAGGGGAGAGGGAGCATTAGTGAAGCGGTTATGACACAAACAGGGGCAGGCGAGGCATTTATAAATGCAGCCTATCTGTTGTATTGTGGAAAGCAAAAACAAGAGGCAGCCACTTTATAAAATATCACACAAAATTTCTGACCCCCCAAAAAAGCATTAATAAAAGTCAAAGCTAATATCCTTTAAATAGTAGCCATAGCTTGTTAATAATAAATTTCATTAAGGATTTTTTTTAAGAGGGTCAGCTAAATGTGAGACTGGAGATTTAAGTTTTTTGACAAGTATCCAAACAGCACTAACTTCTTTGGCTTATACAGGAGACTGAAGGACAAAACAAACAAACAAACAAACAAAAAATAAAATAAAATTGGAAACTAGTATAATGTAACAGACAGAAGGCAAACATGCAGTGAAACGTGGATTAGAGGAGGCAATCTTCACACCCATGTCTTACCCAGGCAGGAAGGGAGAAGAGCCATACACTTTGTTAAACTTGTCAGCAATCAAGTGAAGAAAAGAGAAAAGTGGTCTGTGTTAGCGATCAGAACAGACTACCTTCCTACAGTGTACCATCACCAGAGCTCATGAAAAAATGAAAATCAGCGCCGGAATTGCAAACATCCCCGATTCCATTGCCAACCGTTTTTTTTTTTTCCCTCAACGGGTTATTCTGTGTGGTATAACAGACCATGCATTTACTATCTTCAGACAAAACATGCCATCGAGGGATTCCAATGTGACAAACTTAGGAAGGATGCAGAGTAGGCACAGGGGCCACCATAGACAACCAAGAAATCTAAAGCACTTAAAGTCAAAATCCTTGTTCAGCATTCTTAACATGCAGTAGAAGCTGAACGAGATTTTACTATCAAGTGCAGCATAACATAACATACCACATTGAACACAATCCAACAACATTATTTTCCAATTCTCCCTTCTACATTACTCATTTTAATGCTGGTACATCAAGCACACATACATACAGACATATATCGCTGGGTGCTTAATAAACTCTTGTCAGAAATGAGTTTTTTTGTGCTGTTTATAAAATGAATAATGTTCCCCCCGGAAGGAAGAAATGAATTTTCATGTTTCCCAATCCTAAGAATTTCTGTGAAGTTTCTAGGATCCACATCCTTTCCTGTTCACCATTTAAAACTTTCCATCATTCAACCCTAACGTGTAACACATTCCTGAAACGCTGAAGTATAAAATAAATCACAGCATCCAAGAATTAGAGCTGGAAGGGATGCTAGAGGCCATCTCATTCAACCGTAGTGCAGCTAGGTGGTGCAGTGGACAGAGTACTGGGTCTGGAGTCAGGAAGACCTGAGTCTCCTTGGAAAAATACTCAAAGAGACACCCTTCAAGTTCTGTCACAACTATAGAAATGTTATGAAATATACTAATCACTCATCTCCATAAGAAAAATTCCAGAGACTTAAATGATGGTTATAAGAAGTCAAGAGCATAAAAAACACCCAGTATATATTCAAATGCATTTTGCATTCAAAAATCTAGGTTAAATAACTACTGTGCTTTAAAAACGATAATAGGTTAGAAAAGTTTAAGCAATATTAAATCAAACACATAACTACTATAAATTAACATCCTAGATTTTTTGGAAAAAAGATTGTAAGGAAATAGTTATAGCTCCATATTTTCTACTCAAATTATATCCTTCTCAATTCATGCACATTAACATAAAACACAAACCAGATAAGCTCAAAAATATTCTGAAGAGAGACTAACATTAACACAAGAAGATGATTTTTTTCACATTCAGGTTGAACATTCTATTAAGTATCACTCCCCCATTTTTATAGTTATTGGTTTATAGAATCATATATCTAATACCATAAAAGGGAGGAGGGCAATCTCTCAATGAGTCAATACATTTGGGAGCCTTTCTTTAAATCTCGAATATGAGCTTATGTTCAAACTATTCAAAAACATACATTGTAGTGGTGAGAAATGCATAACAAAGGCATAACCCCTGTGTCAAGGATCTCAGCCAATATACACTAGAACAATTCAAAACATGGAAAAACTGAACACAGGTAACTGAGCAAAATGGAGGGAGTGGGATGGGAATATTTGCAAGAACAGATGTGGTCTGGGTGACTCTTTCCAAAGGCAGATATATTTGCTGTCGACATAAGTCAACTAAGTAAATTCTAGCTACTTTTAACGTAGGAGCAGATACAGATAGAACAAGAGAGCACCCGACAATTTGAGTACAGGCAACATGCCAACATGAGAGTGTCTCGGCTAGCGTCATTTAATAATCACATCAACATATTATAACTGGATGTTATAATTAAGTCATGAAACTTGCAGTAATGTTATCCTGCTTATCATCCTAGGTATAATTTGGATTGCTGGCAATGATCTGAATTAGAACTTGGGGCCCAACAGTGTTACCTTCCCTAAACAGGAGTCTACTTATGCTTAAACATAAACATAAACACTGTCCCCATGGAATTAACTTGGAATTGTAATCTTGTTTTGCACAATATTGTTCACAAAACCAATTACTGACATTAGGAGAAGTATGCCTGTACTCAGGATAGTGTTTTGGTCAGATAAGGGTCTTGTAATAATTGTTTTTGGATTATTCCAAAGAAGGCGATACCTTCAATCTTACTTAAAGTCTCCAAATACCTAGAGAAGGATATGTGTTCAATGATCTGAGTGCACCAAAGAAAGGAGAGAAGTGATCAGAAATTTGTGTTTTCGTGATTGCGAACGGGTATAGAATTGGAATTGAAAGATTTTGAAACTAAAAGGAAAAGACAGGAGCTTGAAACTAAAAGGAAAAGACAGGAGCTTGGGGCGGGGGAAGGAGGAAAGGGCAAAAGAGTCAGGAATGAGGAAAAAGACAGGAAAATAAAGAGAGAAGAAAGAGATGGTGAACTAGGACCATAACAGGAAGGATTTGGAAGTACAGATATGTGGAGATAGGTCAATAAATAGCTCTCCATTAGACAGGAAGATTTGAGGCATTAGATATAAGGCAACAAGTAGCTTAAATGTAGGTAGAAGATCCTTATACATTTTTGTAGAGACAATTAAAAGATCTGCCAATTGTCTTCACAGTAGATTATGACACTTTCAGTTGTCAAGTATCACAGAGTGACAATTTCCATATACTCAGATACACATAACACAAAAGAGAAAGAAAATAGATAGGTGGGAGGCTGGACAAGACAATTAAGAAAACTGACATTACTGAATAACATTACAAATTAAAATTCCACACAGTACCTTGCTATATATCGCTTTCCCATGTACTGGAACTGATGTAAGCACACTCTATAAAAGATAATTTAGAAAATTATTTTAAACACTTAATTAAAATATTAACAATGATGAATGAATTCTAGAAGATTTTTTTTCCCCAATAACTCTTTACATCCTACCATTGTCCTTTTCTCCCAGCTATCATAAATCTTCTAACCTGTCTAAACCCATTATCTATCTACTTTTGACAAAATGGCTCATTTAGTTTGTGGCTACAATGGGCTATCTGCAGGATAAAAATTAAAAATAACTGCAGTTCACATTTATACAGCAATTTAAGGACTAGTAAGCACTTTGTTCATCATTCCCCTCATGAGGTATAATTATTGGGTAAAATTATTCCCTTTTCCCAGATGAGAAAAATGAGATCCAGAGTATTGAGCCTATGCAACTAGCATAGGAACTATAGGGATTATGACTTGAACACAAGTCTTATGACCCTAAATCAAATGTACTTTCTACTAAATAAAATGTAAACTCTTGTCAGTCATAAGCAATTATCTAATAAGAGCCTATACATTTTCTCAAAATTGCTTGGCCTAGGAAGCCTTATTGGGTATCCAAGGCTTTCTCACTTATTTCTTGGTCATAATAACTTATAAACTATATAACATGTTATGGTTTACAGAGCTCTTTCTTTCAATAACTCTATGGGATAGGAAATGCAAGTATTATTATCCTCATTTTACAGATAAGGAAGTTGAGCCACAAAGAGTGACTATCATGGAAGGAGAACTCCTTTTCTGGTTCAAGTGTTTGTGTTGTTGTTATTGTTATTGTTGTTATTTTCAACAGACTCTCAGGTGAAAATGGTGATTAAATTTTTTTAAAGCATCAATTATTTATCTGATAAGAGAAATTTAAAAGGAATTATCCAATAGGTTTCCACAGGCATTTTACTTAATCTCAACTACCTGTCAATCCAGCTGAGGAAGTGAATCAAATTTTTGCTCATGATAATCATGACGAACATTTAAATAGAAGGCATTATTTAAAAGTAAAGAGAAAACACACTGGAAGAGAAGTTGGAAACAGCTTGGGAAGGCAAAATTAGATAAAATGAATGATTCATTTAAACACATAATTCTTTTTCCTAATATTGTAGCCCCAAAAGTCATTAATTTTCCTATCCTAGGTCCTCATTTGGTCCATCTAATTTTCATGAGAATCAATATACGAAATACTAAGGTTAAGTGGTTTTCTGAAAGTAATGCAGCAACAGAGTCAGCATTTGAAGCCAGTCCTCTGACTCAAAATATAGCACTCTTTCCATTCTCCCTTGATTTTTGGACTCCCTGTGTCTTCCTCTGCCTACTGGGAACCACTGATAGGGAGGGATCAAGGTCAAGCATAGAGCAATGGTTGAATGAGGATGCAGGCATGTATTCAAGGATGAGTCAGTACTTATATTTCAAAGCAAAATATATCTTGTATATCTCTCTTCATCTCCGTTAGCATCAAGAGTTGACTACATTATGATCCAATGACTAATGAGCACCATTTTCTTTTTTCTTTTCATTATATTATGTTATATTATACCATGTCATATTATATTAATTTATTTTTGTTACATTTGAGTTCCAAGCTGTTTCCCTCCCTCCCTCCTAAACCGGCACTAGACAATACATAGTTCCATATATCGGTTCTTTCTTTGGAGGTGGAGAGAATCTTCCTTCAAAGGTCCTTTGTAGTTTATTTGAATATTCATACAACTCAGTATGGGCACAATTTTCAATCTTTGAGAAAAACTAAAACCACTCACTCTGATATTGTGAAAAAGTCCATAAGTTCAGATGTTGAAGCCTTGTTCCAATATGTAAATAAAGCATCTAGAAAATGAAAATATTGTTGGTCAGAAAAGCAATTTGTACATATGATCCTACTCACTTTATTCTCAGCACCTAGAGTAGTTCATCTCTATAACCATCTATATAAAGACCTTAGAGCTAAGGAATCCTGGAACATGTTTAAATGAGCCTCTTCATTCTACAAATGAAGAAAATGAGATCTGAAGAAATTAATGGAATTGTATGTGATACTTCAGCCCATTATTTGTTTAGAGAATCTGCAGTTTAAAAGCTTTGGACTTTAGAATGATTATAACATTTAAAACAACTGCTAAATTTCCATTCAAATCCTGTTCTGATGCTTCTTCTTGGCATGGAGGTGAAGCTGGAAAACTTCAGTCAGTAGAGCTTGGGATCAGGTAGGTCCTATGTCAGCTGGGATGGACAGAAGGTCTGTTCTACTGGGCCAAACCTAGTTAAGTTCAGGGATCCTTATAACCAGGTTGGTCAAAGGGTAGTGATACTTTTAGTCACAACAATACTTGATGATTGTTAAGTTTTAAGTGAAACCGAGTCAATTTAAGTAAAATTGAAAGTATTGCTCACTTCTTTGGAAAAAAGGTATAAAGGGTTCGAGAACTATGCTGGGAGTGAGAATACCAGGAAAGATGAAATTGCAGATTATTTAAGTATTCAACATGTTATACCTAATTCTATGTGTAGACATACACATATACATAAACATTTTGTGATTAACATTTCTTTTCTACTATCCTCAGGGGAGAAAAAGTCTAATTTGGGGTTATTAGTGAGACTAAACTTCTATGATTCAGATAAACCCCAACTGATGGACATTCAGTAAAGGTTCATTATGGAATTACACTTGGCAAAATGCAAGTAATTATTATTTATTCCAAATACTTATTGTATATTTATATATGTTTGGGACTTGAGAAATGAGTGAAAATGTTCTCATCAGCAATAACTCAGTTTGTTTTTTCAGGTGGCAAACTTCTTTACTGATTAAACAGAAGTAGACATTACCTAGACTAAAAAAAAAATCTTCAATCCAAACCCAGGGATGGGTGGAAAGGAAATAGAACAGACAGGATTTGTTGGAGAGAAAAGGAGCTATCAATAAGATTGCCCAGGTGTACATAGAGGTCCAGGGCCAAGTTTTCTAAATTAGGTCAACTCCAAGAGTTCCCTGAATAGAGGAGATCAGCATCTTCTGTCCTGGTGAATTGCAGCGGTCACTTTGAGAAAGATGCTGAGAAATGCCAAAGATGCAAACTACAGATGTATCATCATTGTGGATTAACCCACCTATATAAACAGAGCATTTGTTGTGCTTTGTAAAATCCAAACTATTACACAAATAATAATAATTCTCTTCTTCTTCTCCTCCTCCTCCTCCCTCTTCTCCTTCTTCCTCTTCTCCTTCTTCTCTTTTTCTTCATCTTCTCCTCTTCTTCTTCCTGTTTTCCTTCTTCTTCCTCTTCTCCTTCTCCTCTTCTTTCTTCTTCTCCTTCTTCCTCTCCTCCTCCTCCTCCTCCTTCTTCTTCTCCTTCTTCTTCCTCTTCCTCTTCTCCTTCTCCTCCTCCTTCTTCTTCTCCTCCTCTTTCGCCTTCTTCCTCTTCTTCTCCTTCCTCTTTTCCTTCTTCTTCATCTTCTTCTCCTCCTCTTTCTTCTCCTTCTTCTTCTTCTCCTTCTCTTCTTCCTCCTCCTTCTTCTTCCTCTTCTTCCTCTTCCTCTTATCCTTCTCTTCTTCTCCTCCCCTTCTTCTTCTCCTCCTCCTTCTCCTTCCTCTTTTCCTTCTTCTTCCTCTTCTTCTTCTCCTTCTCCTTCTTCCTCTTCTTCTTCTTCTCCTTCTCCTTCTTTCTCTTTTCCTTCTTCTTCCTCTTCTCCTTCTTCTTCTCCTCCTTCTTCTTCCTCTTCTTCTCCTTCCTCTTTTCCTTCTTCTTCCTCTTTTCCTTCTTCTTCTCCTCCTCCTCTTTCTTCTTCTCCTTCTTCCTCTTCTTCTTCTCCTTCTCCTTCCCCTTCTTCTTCTTCCTCTTCTTCTCCTTCTTCTTCCCCTTCTCTTCTTCTTCTTCCTCTTCTCTTCTTCTTCCTCTTCTCCTCCTTCTTCTTCTTCTCCTCCTCCTCCTTCTTCTCCTTCTCCTTCCCCTTCTCCTTCTTCTAAATCTATTTCTTCTTCAAATGGAGGATGGGAGATCCTTGCTGCCCACCAAAGATAAGTTTGTGTCGTTGAAGGAACTCACATATCATGAAAGAAAATGTCATAGGCAGGAATGCAATTTGCACATCTGGTATTTTCCTTTTTGTCTTCTCAAGAACTTTCTGGCATTCATGATGATTAGGTCAGCACTATAAAATACTTAGCAGGTAGAAAAGCTCATTGAATGCACTTTTTCTGCAAGGTTAAAAACAATTAATTGACAGCTGAGAAACTGCACTTAAAGAAACAGGGCCTCATAAGATTTCTTATAAGTAATGAAACCTTTACTCATAAGAGAATATGACTTTCCTAAGTGGAATCTCAGTTAAATACCTGGAATGATAGGTACAGCTACTGAAAGATTCACAGATTTCAAAGTCTGAGAGAATTCCCCACGCTATGAGAACTTAGGATCTGGTACATTTCTTCTGTGTGTTTAAGCAGGTCCAGTCACATAGAATGATCACTCAATTCATTACATCCTTACAGAGGCTACGCATGAGAGAGAAGCAAACATCACACATTTTGTGCAATGTTTGCTGAAGTGACTATGAGATTAAAAATCAGCAAATTTCTATCAGGTGTGTGGACTCAATTTCTTTTTTTGCCTGTTTTATATATCAAATATAACAATCAAATGTAAAAATCAATGTAATAATATAATTTGATTTGCAAATATTTTTTCTATATACAGTTTGTTTGTTTTTCCTCCAAGAAAGTATCCAAGGCAAAAATAGAGGCCAATCTCTTTTACAACTCCCTTGGTAGTCATATATAAGTAGCTCTTGACTTAGAGTAATTTCAATTGACCACTTAACCAATTACAACTCCACAAATGCATTAAGATCAGTCAGTCTCCAGATCTGCTGTGGGCCAGGCTTCTTCCTGGCTCCCAGCCTTGGTCTGGGCCCAAAACTTCATCCCTATCTCCTTTTCCCAGTCAACACATGCATAGACCTACCGTGTTGGCACAAAGATTAAGGTGTTAAAAGGGGAGGGAAAAGGAATATACTGACTAAGCTTAGGGATGAGAAGAAGAGATGGGGAACAAGGAGTTGAGAGATATCAGTAGCTATCTGTCCATCTATCTGAAGAAAAATATCATTCAGCCTTTTCATGAAAACTTCTAAAGAGGAAGAAACTAATAATAACAATAGCAGCTAACGTTTATATAGCACCTACTATGTGCCAGGCACTATGTTAAGTGCTATAAAATTATTATCTCACTTGATCTTTCTAGCAACCTTGTGAGATAAATGCTACTGTTATCCCCATTTTAAGCTGAGGAAACCGAGGTAAATAAAGGTTAAGTGACTTGCCAAGGGTCACACAGCTAGTAAGTGTCTGAAGCTAGATTCAAATTCTTTCAACTTAGGAAGATGAGACTTCTTGACTCCAGGCCTAGCGCTCTAGTCACTATCACCTAGCTGCCCCTCCAGTGTATTACACAGCCTCATCTTTCTTCAAATCAGCTATATCCGAACCTTTAAATCATCTTTGATGCTTTCCCTCTCACAATACTTATCCAACCAAGCTATTAACTCCTACACATTTTTTACCATGACAAGCACTATTAGTGTTGTTGTTTCCAAGTTATCTCTCAAATATATCCTTTTTTTCTCATAAGCCACCACTGCCATTCAGTTCCCAATTATTTCTCACCTTAATTATTGCATTAGTTTCTTAATTTCTCTCCAGCTTCTAATCCATCCAATGTATCAGTACCATATTTATTTTAATATTATTGCTCAAAAGTTTTTAATGTCTCCTCACTGTCTCCTGGATTAAGTCCATACTCCTTAGTTGATCTTCAAATCTCTCAACAAGGTGGCTATAACCACCTCTTTATGCCATTCCCCTACATAAAGGGGTACTTTAGCCAAACTGAGAGACCTGTCAGCCTCCAATCAAGTTCCATCATTTCTGGTCATTCTGCACCTTTGTTTACACCACTCCTTATTCTGGGAAGATCTTTTCCTTTCATCTTACCTGCTGAAATCCTCTCCTTCTTCCAAGACCCTGTTCAAATGACATATCTTCTAGAAAGCCTTCCATAAATCACTAAATGGAAATTTGTATCTCTTTCTCCTCTGAGTGCTGATGGCATCTTCCAAATATACTTTACTATCATATTATGAATTGTGTGAAAATAACTACATCTCTCGTCTCAGAATGTAAGTCCCTTAGCAGTAGGGAAAACCTGTAATTCATCTTTGTTGTCCCCCTTGGTGCCTTAAAAAAGAGTTTTTAAAAAATATTTGCTATACTGAATTTAACATCAGTTCAAAACTTTGAGTCTGGCCACATGTAAACTAGAGGTTTGTGGCTTATACAATGAGAAAAAGTAATGTAATGGGAGATTAAGGAATAGAAAATTCAGTACACATAAAATTTCATTCAAGGTTTTAAAGGCAGGCACACATTGCATTAACAGTAGAATATACGATGTCCCTGCTAATACCAATCAATGAGATGGCAGTTGCAGAATATGATAAGCTTTCTGCCTTGAATGGAGGGGGAGGGAAGGGAAGAAGCATTTATATAGCACCTACTATATGCCAAGCACTGTGCTAAGCACTTTACAAATATTATCTCATTTAGATAATGCTTTGAAAGCATTAAGATAATTAAAATTTGATCTCATGCTTATGCTTGCTACAGGGAAATTTGAAATACAAAAAAGGCAGCAAAACATACATCCCTGAATGAGGTTTTTCACAAATGAATCAAGTGGTCCTAAGCCTCCCTAATAATCTTCTCAAAGAGGCCCTTCTGAATTCCAGGACCCTGATGGAGGTTCCTTCATTTGATCTGAAAATACGGCAGAAATTCTGAAATATATGGTAATACAGAGCACTCTGATATTGTTTTATATGAAATACAAACCTACACAATGTAGAAGGCAATGTGACGTAACAAAAAAAAAGCCCTGAAGAAAGGAATCAGGAGACCTGGGTCTGAGTCTCAGCAATGTCATACTGCTGCTAGCTTCTCTAAGACTTGGTTTTCTCACTTAAGCGTAAGGAGGGAAAAAAAAAAAGAAACTTATAAAATGCCTTCCTGTTCTAAGATCTTAAGACTCTTTGTCCCGAGTACTCAATGTATAATCATTGGATAGCTGTATGCCTCTCTTCCTTATTTTATTGCCCTGGATCTGAAGATAAAATTTGAGTAAATAATTTTTAAGGCGTCTTAGAACCCTAAGTGACCTCTTTTGGTAACCTGTACACATTTTAGAAAGCTTTATGTTCAACACACATTAGCATGTAAAGCATGATCCAGCTGGGCCAACACACTCTAGAAAAGCATTCTCATTGGCTTTTACCTTGAGAGGAAGGGCCAATGGTAATGTTCTCTTAGAGTGTGTGGCACACCTAACTCTCTGGGGATCCATTATACTATAGATGTGTATCTTTTACCATTGACTATGGTATTCGTGATCATGGGTATTTTTTTTGTTTTTTGTTTTGTTAGGCAATTGGGGTTAACTGACTTGCCCAGGGTCACGCAGCTAGTAAGTATCAAGTGTTTGGTCTGAGGCTGGATGTGAACTCAGGGCCTCCTGACTTCAAGGCCAGTGCTCTATCCACTGCGCCACCTATCTGCCCCAATGTGATCATGTATTTTAAAAATTGAAGATCAGGACCATGATGAGGAACACAGTCCCTCCCACCTTGCCTCCCCGATCATGTCACTGGATGGTGACGGAGATAGAATCAGATTGAATTTACATCATCTTAATTTATTGCACATTTCCAAAGAATTACTTAAAAAGATTGCATGTAAATGAAGACATAGTTTCAGCTGATCTGATTCACATTCTCTGCTCTTTTAATTAACAGATACAGGTCTGGAAACTACAATTTAAGTACAGATAAAAGTACTACTGACTATAAGCACCAGTACTTACATAAGCCACTACTACAAGTAATATTTCATTTTAGACAAAAAAGGGTAATTGCTATTCTCCCTATAGGAAAAGGTAGATCCTGTCTTTTAGATTTTTTAAAAAAGGGCTATTAATTAAATTTTTGGTTGAAATGATCAGGAAATTGAATTCTTCCATAGCTCCTAATTTATTCCCATGCTAAAAAAAGGAAAAGAAAGAAAAGAAAAGGAAAGAAAAAAAGAAGTAACACAAATTACATGAAAGGGAAAGGTGATTTTAATTGAAATATTCTCATTTATTTCAAAATACTTACTTTTTTTCTCATTTTCTTATCCTGTAAGATGAATGAAATAAAATGGAATCTTTCATTTACCTACCATCAGACATGCTCTTTAAGATGTATAGGAAGCACATGAGTAGACTCTTAATCTCTGACTGGTCAAGTTTGTCACAGCGGACTACTGAGCTTCCTAAAGTACCACTCTGTTGATGCTAGAAAAAAACAAGAGGGAATGAGTTTTATTAATTTTAAGGGGAAAACAGTATCTCAATTCCATTTTTTTTTACTTCTTTGAAAAAGAAAAGTACTCAAAACTGAGGGAGATTACTGAACCTAGGATACTCCAGGTATGAGTAACTCCTCACTACAATATTTCAGGTACAGGCACACCTTTCCCACCTCTGCCTCGACCATAAACAAGGGCTGTTCCAAAATAGACGCAGCCATGATTTCTTTATGGATTTCTAAAAGGAGGGGGTAAAAAAAGACACACCCATGCCTCAAGAGTCCAATGTTGCCACAGCCTAGGCTATTGATGCAGACCTTTAAAAATAATGAAATATCATGCAAAAGAAGGTGTCCCATGAGCAATATGCTGAAGAGATGATGGAGAAAACAACACTGCAGAACTAAAAACTATTCTAAGGAAGACACTAATGGTAGACACAGCAAAAATAAACAAACCAAAGCAAACCTATGGTGCTGCCCATGCACCAGCTGGCAGATGTCTCTGCAAGCAAGTCATTGCGAGTCGGGAGAGCTCAATGGAGGGTTCTCACAGCAGAAAAGAGCCTGCAGGTACCTAGTAGACAGATAGCTGAGCCAAGCAACACCAGACACAGCCAGCCTAAACTGATGAGGTCCTTCTGTCATCAGCTTATCTGAACACTGCAAATGTCCAAACAAGATCTGTCAGAAAGCTCAGTGTGAAGGGACTAGTTAGTTCAGTTTTGCCACAGAGCAGCAGTAAACAAAGAATATATGTTTATAAAAACATAAGAATATTTATCCCATGCTTTAAAAATAAACAAACACCTGTAAGGCATTTCAGTATAAAATCAATAAGAGTTTTTCCTCTCCCAAAAATATAATTTTAAAAAAAGAGCATGTTTTATTTATTCAGTGTTAAGAGATAAGTAGCATTTTAGATCATATTTTGGTTTTGTAGCTAATACTATTTTTTCAAGACTTTGAAAGAGTCATGATTCCATCAACATGGACGTTCCCTTTGTTCAAGCGTCCTGCAGTCAATCAACAGCTGCTTTCATGAGTTACATGCCTGGACCAGTCCTCAGATGGCAGACACAGGGTCTGACACAAACTCCAAGCCTTTCCATTCTGGTTGGACCTGCCATAGCTGGCAATATGCAAAGGACTGTGGACAGTGAAGCAAAGGAAGAGGGCTTCAGTGAAGCTCATGTCTCATGCCCTTAACACATTCTAGATTTAAAGGCAGCAAGCTGGGCATAGCAGAGAGTGCGCTGGACTTGCGAGTCAAGAAGACTTGATTTAAAATCCTGCATTAGACAGTAACTTGCTGTTTTACCCATGGCAAGTCATTTTAGTCTTCCGAGTCCTGGTTTCCTCATCTGTGAAATGATGGATCAAAATGGCAGATAGAATGGCAATAATAATATCACTCACTTCACAGGGATGTTATGAGGATCAAACGTGATAATATAGGTAAATCAACTTGCATTGAAATTTTATTAAATTATTAATTAACAGAATTAAATATATTTTATATCAAAATTATTATTAAAATATTGAAGTGGTATATAACTGACATTATTATTATTTTATTTTTCCAGGAAGAAAAAAACTGGTGCAAATTTGTGGCAAAACTGTACTGCTAGTGTTATCACTCCAAACATCAGCCTCACACTTGGACAACAACAAAAACCAAGTACTTCTTGCAAAGGCAACAGAAGTGCAGCATGCAAGGGGTCTTCTGGCAAAGGCGGAATTGTCAGGAGGGAAAAGTCCATGGTGACCCGATTTCTCTTGGCTGACTGGCAGCTCTCTTCCTCCTCTCCAGGGCTGCGCATGACATAAGCAGAATGCCTCCTGAGAAGTTTCTCCCTCTGCCACACGACGGCATGTTAGGGTCAAGGGGAAAGGTTAAACACATGTTATGAGACTTTCACCACCAAGAGGCCTGTCCCTCTACAAGATGGAATTCTCCTAAGTCCAGGAAGAGTCAGCTACTGAAACGTAACGTAAGATTACAAATGTTATTTGCTGAGGGAGGAGGGCATTTTTCAAGTCCTAGAGAAGCAGTGACTCTATTGAATGAAGAGTTGAAATGGTATTGGATGATATGCTTGTGATTTGGGGATTAAAAATAATAATAATGATAATAATAACAATAATAATGATAATAGTACAATTTTCCAAAATTCAAACCATGGTGCTGAAGACAAGACTGACAACATTTGTTTCCAGGTGCCATTCAAAATTTTTTATGCTTTTCTACAAAATGTCATGAAGTCTGAGCCTTGGTTATTTCAGAAAAAGAGAACTGAAATGGAAGATAGGAATAAGAGGATATTAAGTAGGTTCTGCTCTTGATTCATTCTTCATGATGTGGATGAAGTCAATTCTCCTCTTTGGATTTAATTAGGCAGCTAAGTAGTACCATGGCTAGTGTTCCCAGACTGGGAGTCAGGAAGGCATGGCTTCATATGCTACCTTGGACACTTACTAGCTGTGTGACCCTGGGCAAGACACTTAACTTCTCAAGCCTCAGTTTAATCATCTGTAAAATGGGAATAATAATAGCACCTACTTTTCAGGGTTGTCCTCAAGTTTAAATGAAGTGACATATATATACATACATATATGTATATATGTCACTTTCCAAAAGATACATGCTTGCTCTTATTATTACTACTATTATTATTATTTCTGGATTCTTTGGGATAACTATAAGTTAACAACTATAGTGTGCTCTTCATTCCTTCAGAGAAAATTATATGGAATCCTTATGCTATCTTGATGACGAGGGGAAGCTTTCTCTTTTCTATCTTCTTTCTTACTTTTGGTAGGCTTCCTGTTTTCCCTAGTTTCCTTCAAAGCTTAGCTCAAGTACCACTTTCTGTATGAAGCCCTTCTTGATCCCATTTACTGCTACAGCTTTCCCTCTCAAATTATCTTATATCTATTTTATATGTATTTATATCACATATACAGATATATATCCCCAACACTTGGCCCATTGCCTCTCACAGTTGTAGGCTTTTAATAAATATTTGTGGACTGATTATTATTCTAACTGCTTATATAAAACATTTCCATAATTATTACAAAACATATAATAAATTTCTAGAATATAGAAGGGAACCACCAGGCAATATCCCCCTGGTGATTACCTTAGTGATATATCTGTCATCAAAGAGAATGTGAGAGCGTGGGTAGAATTAGTAACCTGACCCAGGTAAAAAATGTGATTAGTCACTGAACTCAGGGTCCTGCAAGTGTGCTAAGAATCAGAGCCTTTCCCTTAGATTCAAAAGGAGATATGAGGCAGGCCCCAGAGGGGACATGGACTTTGAAAAAGGAGGAAGAGATAAAGGGTCTAATGTGGGCCTTTGGAGGTAGCCAGTAGGAGGTAAACAGGCTCCAGGTGTGACCTTGCCCAGATACAATGTGTAGGCACAGATATAATCTTGGACAGAATCAACTTAAACTAGGAGATCAGCTGTTCAGTGAATATTTTTTCAAGAATAATGGAACAAGACAGAGAATAGTCTGGGGGTAGTAGGACTTCCAGGGGATAAAAAAAACCTTAAGGAGATAACAAAGGACAATCTGAAACTCAGGAGAGGAATTTGGGGGGTCTGATTCCATTCAACAAGCATTTATTAGATGCTTACTATGTGTAAAGCAGTAAAGAGACAAAGAGGAAAAAACCAACAGTCTCTGCATTAAAGGAACTAATAATCTAATGTAGGGAGACAGGAACATAGACAATGAAGAATGATAACAGGTTAACTTCTATAAAGACAAAGGAAAGCTCTAGACAAAGTGCTACACGCAATAAGAGGAGGGAAGTCACTGTTAGCCGAGCAGAATGAGGTTTGAAAACCAGGAAAGCCTTCATGAAAAGAAGTGATACCTGAGCTAGGCCTCAAAAGAAAATGGAAGATTTTAAAAAGCAGAAATGTAGAGAATATATGGAGACATGAGAGGGTAATCTGAGTGAAAGAAGGGAGGAAGGAAAGGGTAGGATAAGATTAGGGAATCTTTGTCCAATCTGACTGGTTTTGACACATTTTTAAGGAAATGAGAAGAGAATACAGATAGCAAAACAGGCAAGGGCCAGACTTGGAAGGCCTTAAATGCCAGGGTAAGAAGTCTGTCCTAGGACTCAGGAGTTCCGAGCTGCAGTGGACTAAGGTGATCAGATGACAAGGGGGGACCACCAGGCTGCTTAAAAAGGGGCGAAGCAGCCCAGGTCAGAAATGGAGCAGGTCGAAGTTCCCAGGCCTATTTTCTTTCAGTAAATGGCTAGGATTTATTGAGGCGATTTTTTCATGACCTTGAATTAATCCAATCACATGAAGAAGAATTGTAAGAGACATGAGAAAAACAACTACCTTGTCGAGAGAATTGGTCTTCTCGACGTTCCTTTCTGGAAGACTGTTCAACGAATCGGTGCTGATGAGCGAGCCTCTTGAATCAGCATTTCGCACACTATTGATATTTGGTGTTGATGTGGTATAGGGTGATGCTAAAAAAATTATTTTAAAAGAAAAATAGAGGATGAAATGTTAAATATATTTGCTAATGTTAAATAATAATAAACAATATTATTTATTTTATTAAAATAAAAAATAAATTTTATTAAAATAAAAAATAAATAATAAATGTTAAATATTGGGAAGTTGGCTCAACCATTTTATTCAACTACTCCACCTTTTAAAAGTCAGGCAATCAATATCAATTTTGGGATTAAAAAACACGCATGCATGGAAAGTACAGCTTCATATACACAGTAACCTTGATCCCAAAGACCCCAAAGAGGCCATACTACTTCAGAATAGAGTGCTCCTGAAGCGGAACCAATTGGGTATTCTTGTTTTGTTTTTGTTTTTCCCCAAAGAAGATAAAATGTACCTTTACCCGGAGCAACCACAATTAAAAAAAAATGAACAAGTAAGTCTCTATGTTGTCATACTACAACAGCGAAAGTTATTAAGAACTCACAAAAGTTCTTAGGAACTATACCATAGGACTGATTTACAATGATAAGGTCCTTAGAGATCACCTTGTCCTAAAATCAAAGTTAGACAAGACATCTGTGTCCATCTAGTCCCGTCCAGATCTTTATTGAAATTCCTGCTTCAAGATCCTCAAATGGTCATCAAAAATCACGTGAAGACCTCTAATGAGAGGGAACCCACAACTTCCTGAAGCAACACATTCTACTTTTGGAAAGTTCCTAATTGTAAGGAAGTTTTTTCCTTATATAAGGCCTAAATCTGTCCTAGCAATTTTCACCCACTATTCCCATTTTTGAATCATGGGGCCAACCAGAACAATACTAACAACAATAATAATAAAGAGCTAGCATCTATGTAGCACTTTAAGATTTGCAAAGGGCAGCTAGGTGGCGCCATGGTGCATAGAGCTTGGAAGACTCATTTTCTTGAGTTCAAATATAGCCTCAGACACTTACTAGTTGTGTGACCCTGGGAAACTCACTTAACCTTGTTTACCCTAGTTTCCTCATCTGTAAAATGAGCTGGAGAAGGAAATGGCAAATCACTCTAGTATCTTTGCCAAGAAAACCCCAAACGGGGTCATGAAGATTCCAACATGTCTGAAATGATTAAACAACAATAAGGTTTGCTTTTATGTTATCTCATTTGGTCCTCACAACAACGCCATGAGGTAAATGCTCCTATTATCCCTATTTTACATATGAGGAAACTGAGGCTGACAGTGGTTAAGCCATTACAGCTCACAAGTCTCTGAGGCGGGATCTGACCTCTGTTCTTCCTAACTCCAAACCCAGCACTCCATTCACTGAATAAACTGAACAATCAGCTTTCCACATGACAGCCCTTAATACGGGAAGCCCAAACTTGCTCATTTTACCAATGAGGATGCTAAGGCCCCGGAAGGAGGCTGACTTGCTAAAGATCATATAAGTAACAGGCTAGGTCCTGGCTCCAAATCTAATATTCTTCTATTAGGGACATCATACTGCTTGAAGCAATAAATTATGGGGCTGGTGTGACAAATATGCCTCTGGAGACATAATTTTTTGATGGTCATAAGGAGATAGGGTCACTGCCTGACACCGAACAGCATTTCCACTATCAAAAGGCCACTAAAACCACAGGTTAACATGCTGTAAGCTTAAACATCCGCACTTTAACAATTACAGATGCAAAGGTAATGCTATTAACCAGAAATGACTGACATTTGGTTTTGCAGATGGCATCCAATGTTTTTTTTGGCACTGCAGTCTTGCAAACGTAAGCAGCAGCCTTAGGTACACAATATTAATTTGAAGCCACAGTTACTGGGGTTAGGTTACTGATCACCTGGGAAGGCACCAGTCATTTGGAATTCAATAGGTCTAACAGCTGTTCATGGGACTGAAGCACTCACCTACCCGAGTTCTGGCTTTTTATAATGGAGGGGGTAGAGGGTAGAATTAGCTCCGGATTCATGCTCAAACTTTCTACCAAGTCACATATTTGTGACATTTCTTAATTAATTGGTTTCTGGCATAACCATTAACACGTTAAAGGCAATTCCAATTCCAAGCAAAGTCTTCCGCCTCAGTGAAAGAGGCAGGGTCACAAGGCTTTCCCAGTGCCTTCTCTTGGTTGATTATCTCCAATTTATCCTGTACGTGCTCATTTTGTTTACATGATGTCTCCCCATTGGACTGTAAGTTCTTTGGAAGACTATCTTTTACCTTTCTCTGAATCGTCAGCACTTAGCAGAGTGCCTGGCACATAGTAATTATTAAATGTTAATAAATGTTTATTGATTGACAAACCGACACCAGGCACCAGTATTTAATTTCAGCCACCCCTGAGACTTAAGTACAATGATGAATGGTAGGGCCCAGGGTTCCCAGATATTGTTTTAGATAACACCAGCTTACTCTTACATGCTGCAAATGTTTTTTGTATCATAGTAACCTAGGTGAGTTAGAACTGAAGACATGAAAATCTCCTTCCCAACTCCAATCCCCCACCTCCATTTTTTATAGATGAGAAAAATGAACTTGTCCAAGGGCAAACAGCTAGGAAGTATCTGAAATGGGATTGGAACCTAGGTCAGAACCAAGGGCAAAACTCTTTCCACCATACCAGGTCTTCTCCCATGCTTAATAACAGCAGCCAGGCTCTATCCTCATGACACTGTGAGGTAGATACTATGAGGTGTGAGGTAACTAGGTAGCACAATGGATAGAGTACTGGACTTGGAGATCTGAGTTTAAATCCTGCCTCAGACATTTACTTACTAGACGGGTGACCCTGCACGTGTCACTTCATTTGTCTCAGTCACAGTTTCCTCGTCATGTAAAATAAGGGAGCTGGATTTGATGGCTTCTAAGGGCCCTTCCAGCTCTAAATCAATGATCTTATGATTATTCTCCCCATTTTACAGATGAAGAAATTAAGGCTCAGAGGTTCAAATCCATGTTTCCCCCTGTTCCAAGTCCAGAACTGTTTCTACTCTATCAGGAATGAGAACAGAGGCAGAAAGGCAAATTTGAAAATAGAAACAAAGACTGAAAAGTGTAAAAAATCCTCTAAGAACAGGAGGCTTATTTTCCTCATCCTGTGCTACACCAACCATATGTATGCTGGAGGCCACAGGAGAGAAAGGTGAAGAGAGGACAAAACTCTGAGCTATTCTATAGTTTGTGGACAGACGGAAGCCAGAACAAGAGATAATCCCAGGGTCTTTCTGATCTCTTTGTGACTTAGCTCTGGTGTGCTACATAGGATTTAGGTGGGGAAAAAAAAAAGCTTTCAATATCATTTTAAGACTCAGGAACTCCAAGTAAAACGGCTCCTGAAATCTCAGAATTCCAGGCCGGTCTCCAGAACCAACATTCCAGTCTCAAGGAAACAGATGGTGGTATAATAACTCAAAATCAACTAACATACATAGCAGAATTACATTCATGTTTTCAACAGTTGGAGTCTACAGATGATTAAAAAATCTTTGATAAGCAGCATGCAAATGAAATAAAGATTTTAAAAGATTCTTTCCCCTTTAATTACCATACAGATTGCATGGGGCAACAGAGAAATGAGAGGGCAGAGGAGCCATACCTGAAGCAAACAATGTTTGCTATTTAAAACTAAGCTAATCACAGTGCAAACTTCACCCGAGCAACAAATCAGCAAGTTTCAGGCATTCTTGTATATATCACACTTGAACAAGATAAGACCATCTGGTGAGGAAGCTATATGAGCAGGACTAAGAGTCTACAAGACAGAGATTTAAGGAAAAGTCTGGCTAGAAGACAGGTACTTGGACCCAAATCAACTGGAATTTTTCACAGAGTAAAAGAACAAGTTCAAATGTGACTGTAAGTAGCTTATGAACAGGCTAACTGAATGGAGGGAAACAAAGGATTTAGGGATTTAAAATTCTGGTTTTGGTTTCATTTATTATTTTTCAGTGGTGAAGAATATATCTGACATTTGAGGATATGCCTGGATATGTATCAGAGACTTCCTATGAAATGAGGCATGGACAACAGAATTCAAACACAACTACTGAGTGGGGGAAGGGGGTCAAATCAGTTTTGCTTTTTTTTTTTTTTTGCACCAGGGTCAGCACCAAGGTCAGCACACAGCTGGTACAGTAAGGTGGAAAACAGGACCTGGGTTCAAAATCTAGTTCTGTAGCTAACCGGAAGCCTTGGTCAAGTAATTACACCTGCCTGAGGCTCAGTTTCTCAATCTGTAAAATGAGAGGGTTGTGCTAATTGGCTTCTGATGTCCCTTTTCGTTTCCAGTCCCTGATACCATGACACTCTCCAACATCCGAGCCTCAGATAGGGATAGCTCGTTTGAAATTCAGATTTCACAAAATCCTGTAATGTACATTGGGAAGTGAAGAAATCCAGGATTTCATCCTTGTTTTTCTACTAACTCATACATAGTGTGATCTCAGGAAATCTTTCCAAGGCTTATCCGCAAGCCATGATACAATTTAAAATCAACCCAGACTGGGATGTGAGAAAAAGAGACAGAGACACTGCAAAAGTGTATGTGACAATTTAGTTACAAGGTATTTAAAACATTTCTCTATCCCAGGGTCTGGACCAACAACTCACACAGTAAAGGGTTCACAAGGTAACAGACTTCCCTCTCAGCATCCAGGAGGGGACCTAATTTGCAACCCTATCCAATTATCGAGGTTGATCCTTTCCCCCTCATGTAGGACTTCCTTTAAACAATTCAAGACATTCTAGGCTCTCTCTATTGAAGAATATTTTGCAAAATTTCACCAGAAATACATCACTATTTCTTTCAGGATGATCTCCTTTATATCCAGTGTAAAACTCTATTGTTCTAAATTGAGACCATGTAAATCTATCTTTGACTCCACCCCTACCCATCACCCCCAGCCAACCTAATTTTCTGAAAGCATAAAAAACAGAATTATAAGTTAAAATGCTAAACACTGAATGAAAATCTACAGCAATATAAAGGCTCTAAATATTACACTTCAGCTATTAAAAAAAGCTTTACTTGCATTTTCATAGAAAATCAGAGTCATTATGTTGATTTAGTACTGGAAGATTCTAGGGTTTGGCTTTTTTCCCCCCAATTAAGACAAAAAAGAAAAAAAATTCAAAGCAGAAACTCATGCTTTAAAATCGTTAACTCATTCATTCAGACATTAAAAGATGATCATTTTGGCAGAAAGTTTAAACTAAAGGAAAGTAGACAATATGAAAAGCATTACCAATGCCAGAGATAACGCCGAAGAGGTCTTTATGTAGGTTGTTATCCAGTGTGTTTCCTGATTTCTGTGGGGTTACTAATGGATTTGTAGTTGGCATATTTAGTGATTCATCCTTTGCATTCTGTCAACCCCAAAAAAAGAGAAAGAAAGGGAAAAAACCAGTCATCATTATTACTCAACAGTTCATATTTATTACCTAAAATCATTCCATTTTGGGGAGTATGAAGGCACTTTTTTTTTTCTCTTAACAATCTATGAACAACCTCACACTAACTAGGAGAAAGTGAGAAAAGAGGCAACCAAAGTGAGAATGAGGAAGGACATGAGGATAGAAATGGGAGGGAAGGAAAAGAGACATGGCATATTTTCAATTTGAGAATATCATAATACCTTGCATTTATACAGTGTTTCTGGGTTTGCATGTCACTTTTACAGATATCTCATTTGGTCAGGTGAGATAAAGAAGACAAAATCCCCTTCGGCTGAGCTGCAGAATAACTTTTATTTCTCCTTCTTCTGGAGCTGACTTTTTCAACCTTAGTTAGTCTATCTATCAGTGCCTATATCAGAGGCAGCTAGATGGCACTAGACCTTGATTTAGGAAAATGAATTCAAATCCAGTCACAGACACTTAGTAGTCGTGTATCCCTAGACAACTGGCTTAAATTCTGTCTGCTTCAATCTCCTCATCTGTAAAACGGTACCTCCCTCCTGTGAGAATTAAAATGAGGAAATACTTGAAAAGCACTTTGCAAACCGTAAAGTGTTATATAAATATGAGCTATCATTATTACTATCATTATTATGACCTTGTACAGGTATTGAAGATGGCAAGTCCAGGATGGAAGGGAGAGAACAGTGGCTCAAAACTGGGAATTACCTAGCACTTTCAACAATCATAGGTTGCTCCCTGTTGCCAAAGCCAAAAGGGTTTTTTTTTTTGATTTCTTTAGTTTTAACACGACTCTCCTCATACGATGATAAGTGGTTGTCAATCATGGATACCCTGATCTTTCAAGAATCCAAATGAGAGCTGACTCAAAGGGTATGGGACAGATGTAAAGTGGATGTAAATAGGCTGCAGTCCAGTATTGAAAAGAACTCACAAGCAAGAAAGGGCATAAAAGACATTAAGGATCACGTGATGGGAAAAGAGGGAAAGCCAGCCCTGAGAAAATGAAAGAAAACAACCATCCTGAATGTTGTGATGATAATCACAAAATATGAAGAGGTCCAGAGAAATGCCTCCAATACATTTTATTGTTCCTTTGGATTAGGGCTTCTTAGCCTACGGTTCGCCGACTTGTTTTTTAAATATATTAATATTTTAATATCATCAATAAATAAACTGATGACTCCATTTCAATATAATTAGTTTCCTTTGTAATCCTATGCATTTTACTTAATGCATTTTTTTAAAGTATGTTGAGAAGGACTCTATAAGCGTCCCCATACTGCCCAAGGGGTCCATGACACATAAAAAGCTAACCTCTGCTCTGTAGAGTACGTAAGGAAATATATGAACATGAATGAGATCAGACGTTGAGAATATTATTCACTCCCAATTTTTATACCTACATATCTATTTTCCTATAGGACAGTCTCTACAGTACTTCCTAATTAATTGAAGCCTTACAAAAGCTCTTAGACCTTAAAACCACACTAAGACTTTTAATACACCCCGTATTTCCCCAAGACAGAAATAATCTTTCCTCTGAATTTATATCCTTATTAATGCACTTTTACACAATGTCCTATACTAGTTACTTAGGGACATGTCTTACATCCCCTGATGGCTAAAAGCTCTATGGAGGCAGGGACCCTATCTTATTATTTTCTGAGTCTTTTCTTTTCCCCAAAGGATGTATGTACCATAGTGCCACATGCACAATAATTACCCAATAAATGTAATGAACAAATAGATGAATATTATTTTGATAATTCAGGGGGGAAAGTGGGTCTACTTTGCCAGGCTAATCAATATTGCCCATGTTTAAAGAACCAAATTCATATGATTATTGCTTCAGTTCTACAAAGACCTGGACTTCGCTACATTTATGGGAAGTTATTCATACTAAAAGGAAAAATGCAGAAGGCTTTGGAAACATTTTTTTAAAGGGCATTTATTGCCAAGATGGCAGCATAACTCTTCTAAAAACCTCAGTCTCTTTCCCCAGAAAAGAACAGCCTGGACCTGATTAACCATAGGTCTTCCTTAAAACTTTTGAGGCAGGGCAGACAATATAATGTGTTGACTAAGCCTTCAAAAATGAGATATATGATAGACTTAGGACCAAAACTCTACCCTTGCATAAAAGAGAATTTTTAAAAACCTTGAAACATCTAGGCCACATATGTAAAAATGAGTAATACTGAATGGTCACAAAATCCTCACAGGTACTTGGAAAGAGAACCTGAAAAAGCATTATCCTTTACATGTTAAAATTAATGAATTTATATGTAAACAGTAACAGCATATTTAGATAACTATACTGATATTTAATATTAAATTTCTCACAAAGCATTTATTTTTAAGAAATAATTAGACCCAGAAAAACTAGGCAAGGTCTATCTGTACTTTACAGACAGAATGGGGCAGAGGACCCAGGAGGTATCTTCTTTCTCACCCCTCCATACTACAGACCAGTCCTCAAATGCAGTTTTGAGATAGAAGTTACTAAAATTGAATTTCTATCTGAATACATCTATCTAGATTCTAGAACAAGTTTCTATCTGAAAAAATTTAAATGAACTAATTTACCATAACTGATGAATGATGATTTCTATCTTTGTCTCTGAGTCCAAAATTTCCCAAAGTTTAATTCTTCATGTTTAATAAACTGACACTCCTCTTGTAAAAGAAGGACCCTGTGTGAGTCATTGGATGCGAATTTCTAAGCCAAATTTTCACCAAGTTTCATAAGCTAAAAAGAAGCATGTGTTTCTTATAGAAGATAGTTCTCTTGTGGTTCTGCTTTAAGTGTTTCTATGCTTAGCCTTTCCAAATGTAATTCCTACAGGCCTTAATAAAGGACCAGTAAAAAATGGAATAGGAAGAAAGGAGAGATAATGACTGAGTTTTTTTTATGCAACATGAGTACAGAACACATTTGGAAAGGAACCTTCTAAACGGGCATGAAAAGTAATTTCCAAAGAGCAAATCAACTTCTGAAATATTTACAGGACACTTGCTCATAACTCTCTCCACACCTGTCTCCAATGACCCTGAAATCATCATTCTGCTGCAAAGGAAGCACTGCTCAGTTTGTTTTCCTGATATTTAAGAGTCACTTCCTGTCCCCTAAAAATTTTATAGAAAGCAATTGCTGTCTATTCATGTTAACAGATGGAAGATCACAAGGACTGGTAATTTTTAAAAAATTCAGCGTTTTAAGTTTTTTTTTTTTTTTTTTTTTTTTTTGTGAGGCGATCAGGGTTAAGTGACTTGCCCAGAGTCACACAGCTGGTAAGTGTGAAGTGTCTGAGGATGAATTTGAACTCAGGTCCTCCTGACTCCAAGGCCAGAGTTCTATTTACTGCACCACCTAGCTGCCCCAGCGTTTAAGTTTTTAATGAAATTTCATCCCATAAATAGATATGAATTTTTTAAAATCACATTTCTAAAGCAAGTCCTTGCAACAGCCCTTTGAGGTAGGTAGCACAATTACTCTTTGCCTCATTTTACAAATGAAGAAACTCAGACAAAGAGAAGTTAAGTGGGTTGCCCAGAGACACAGTTAGTAATACTTCAGGACCAGAAACTGAACCGAGGTCTTCGGATCTGAAGTAAAATGTTCTTTTTCATTTTGCTATCGATGCCTCTTATAATATACAGCAAAACCTTCATGAATCTGAATGCAACTAATCCAAACCCTCAATTCATAAGGCAGCAGTCTGTGTCAGAGGGAGTGTTAGTCCAAGATGCAAGAGAGCCAAATTCAAATCCAGACTCATTCGTTAATTAGCTTTAAGGTTTCTGGAGGCCCATGGAATGTTAGAGCTGGAAAGAAACCTAGAAATCATCCAATCCAACGGTATCAAACTCAAAAAAGAAATGGGGCTCACTAAACTAGACATAAAGATCTCTGTGGGCTAGCTTTTTTTGTTGTTGTTCTTCAGTTGTTTCAGTTGTGAATGACTCTTCATGACTCCATTTTCTTGGCAAAGATACTGGAGTGGTTTGCCATTCCTTCTCCAGCTCATTTTACAGATGAGGAAACTGAGGCAAACAGGGTTAAGTGACTTGCCTAGGATCTTGTCTGAGGTCGTATTTGAACTCAGGTCTTCCTGACTCCAGGCCCAGTGCTCTATCACATAGCACCACCTAGCTGCTCCTTTACTCCACATTACTCCCTTTCATATCTTACGCTCCTGCTAAATCAGTCTACCTGCTATTTCCCAGACTCAGCAGGCTACCTCCATCTTCCTGAGCTTTTGTGTAGGCTATCCATCATGCCTGGAATGCACTCCCACATCATCTCCCCCTCTTAGAATCTCTAGCTTCCTTCCAGTGGTATATAAACTCCATGAGGGTAAGGAAAGTTTCTGTTTCCCCTCTGTACACTCAGCACCTAACACAATGCCTTATATATCCCTTTACTGGAAAACTGAGCTGGTTGGATTTGATTGAATGGATTGTCTTGCTAAAACTTCTGAAACAATGTGATGGAACAATGTGCAGACATTAAATGGATCCTCATGGTCAATGGAGGTTAGGAGATGAAATGAAAATGGAGATGAGAGTAAGGCAAGGCTGCCACACAGCTCATTACTCTGTGGTTGATTTGCAGGTTTTATAGGAAAGTACATTCAACAGCAAAAGAGCCGCAGTGTGGACATGGAAAAGAGGCAGTAATATCCAGGCTGGGCCTGTTTATTGCTTAAAATGAGGCATAATCCTGCAAAGAGAAGGAACTACTTTAAATTTGTTCTAAAAAATAATAAATCAGATGACGTAGGAGTATAAGTTAATGAAACTGAGGGTAATGTCACGAGAAAGGAATAATCTATATTAAAAACATTACAGGGGCCACTGAGAATTTCTAGTTTACATTTCAAAGAGAAAGAAGATTTCAAAGATGCTGGAAAAGTTGAGAGAAAGCAGTAAAGAAAGCAAATGCAGGACATTTAGAAGTTTTTGTTAGAAAATGGGTAAATGTGATGGGCAGCTAGGTGGTATAGGAGATACAGTGCTGGGCCTGGAGTCAAGAGGACTTGAGTTCAAATCTGGCCTCAGACACTTATTAGCTGTGTGACCCTGGACAAGTCACTTAACCCTGTTTGCCTCAGTTTCCTCATGAGTATAATGTGTATAATCTGTATAATGTATAACTTACTAGCAGTGTGATCCTGAGCAAGTCACTTAACTTTGTTTTCCTCAGTTTCCTCATCTGTAAAACGAGCTGGAGAAGGGAATCGCAAACTACTTTAATATCTTTGCCAAGAAAATCCCAAATGGGGTCACAAAGTGTCAGACACTACTGAAAAATGACTCCCAGCATAATTGTGAGAATCAAAGAAGATAATTATAAAGCATTTACCATAGCGTCTGGCACATGGCACCGTATAATGTTTATTATTATGATTACTATTAAGATTAATTCATTTCTGGTGGCAATTTTCTTACATGTTAATTAGCTAAGATTCTCCCCACATAGCCATGTTGTTCAGCTGATAGGATCTTTTTTTTTATGTACTTGTAGAAAACGGGTTTGAAACCTTTCTGGGGTCATGGACACAGGTCTGACCTCTTCTCATTTTAATTTAAATAATTAAAGAAAATGCTAAAATTCAGTTAGAGTTTAATGAAGATGTATTTTCCCCCCATTGAAGTTCATAAATCCCCTGAAATCTATCCTTGGTTAGAGATAAATTTGAGGGTAGACTTGGAAGTCCGAGGAGTCTGTGGACCCCAGGTTAATAATCCCTGCTCTATAACAGTAACAGGGCAAACATGGGTAGAAGATATTTCATAATAAAATGTAATAGCCATTAGAGAAAGTTAAGCATGATATACAGTTAAAGTCTATGTCTCTCAACTTGAATAAGGCAGAGGATGACAAGAGAGAAAAAGCTTCAAAGTTCTACAGGACCACAGGAGAACAATTAGTGAAAAGAGATTGTGTTGCACTAGAAAGTAGAAAATTTCACAAGCCTAAAATGACAACTTGTGAGAACATGTGAAGATGATCACAGAAAAGGTAAAGGCCAAGGACCTAAAAAGAAAAACCAGGAAAGTAGCACATGAAGAAATGTCAAATGTGCAAACTAGGTGGTATCCTCAATGGAGCACAGGACTGGGAACCAGGAAAAACTGAGTTCAAATTCTGCCCCAGATATTTATTAGATGTATTATTCTAGACAAGTCACATAACCCCTCTAAGCCTCATTTTCCTCTTCTTCTAAATGAGGATAATGACAGCATCTACTTCACTGGGTTGCTGTGAGCATCAAATAGATAATACTTGTAAAGGGTTTTGAAGTGCTATGTAAAGGTTAGCTATTACTATTTTGGGGCAGCCAGGTGGCCCAGTGATTCTAAGTTGAGGGTCTCTGGGACTTTCCATGACTTGATACTGTTGGGGTGGCTGGGAGCACATTATAGTCTCTGGTCACTCACTAAAAGCAATAACTCGAGTCAGGAACACTCATTTTCCTGAATTTAAATCTGGCCTCAGACACTCACTAGCTGTGTGATCCTGAGCAAGTCACTTAACCTTATTTGCTTCGGATTCCTCATCTGTAGAATGAGCTAGAGAAGGAAATGGCAAAGCACTCCAATATCTTTGCCAAGAAAACCCCAAATGGAGTCACAAAGTGTCAGACGCAACTGAAAAACGACTGAACAATGAATTACTATTTTTACTCATAAAACAGAAATAAGAATGAAGACGTTAAAAAGATCTTTAAGGCTTTCTATTTCCTTGCAGGAGCAAGGAGACAGGTCATTCAATCCAGGAAACATTTATGAAGAAAAGGCACTGTATTAGGTATTGAAGTTACAAAGAAAAAAACGAAAAAAACAAGTCTCTGCCCTCCTGGAGTTTTTTCTATTGAGAGGAAGACACATTTATATATAAAGAACTACAAAGTAGAGGGTATTCCAAAAAGTCTAAGTGTGGTTTTACAGCTTAAAAATCACACTAAGACTTTTGAGATGTATTGTGTATACAAAGAAAATACTGTATAAAGGAATGTAGGGAAGGCGAGATCACTAGCCACTGGGGACATCAGGAAAGGTCTGATGGAGGAGAGACAATATTTGAGCCCAATCCTGATGAAGGTTAAGATTGGGGCGGGGCGGGGGGGTGAGGGCAGAGGGCCAGGTGGAAGATACTGGAGGATAAATAGAATGTCAAATTCCTTGGAAGGCAAGACAGTGTCTGTTAAAGAGAGATGGAAAGGTGAAAAAGGAGAGACACCTGCATTTGCCTTCTGAATCAGCCCGAGTGAAAGACTTTTGACGTCAGTGATTGAAGATAGAATTAAAAAAGAAAGGGTGGGCTATGACTCCAAAGGCAACTGAAGTATAAGTTAGAGACCCACCCCAAAAGCCAAAGTTTATGAAGGAAGGAGAAAGAATAAGACGAAATAAGTCATCGTGATCTTGGGAATGAAGAGTCCTGAGAGTTGAAAAGGGATGAAGTACATAAATGTTTTAAGAGTCCAGAGAAGAATGAATCCTATTACAGATGACAGGAGGCTGAAACAGGAAAGAGAAAGCAAATACATTTCCAGGGGACTGACTTAACAACACTGAGAGTGACAAAAGAGACATTTGATATCTAAAAAGACATTTTGGCTTTGTTGGGCAGCAGAAGAACATTTGCAGATACGAGGCATGATAAGATCGGAGGACTGGAAGGGATTTATAGGATTATCTAGTCCAGCAGTTCTCCAAATCTGGTACAGGGAACCATGGGGGTCCCTGAGACCCTTTCAGGGGTTCTGTGAGGTCAAAAATATTTTAACAACAATAATAAAAATAATACAAAGTTAAAATTGATATTTTGAACTACAATGAATATAGATATAACCATTTTGAACTATAATGAACACAGATATAAACAAAAGCTCTTGGCGAGTGGGGGAGGTCCTCAATAATTTCTAAGAGTGTAAAGGGGTCCTGAGACCATCAAGTTTGAGAACCACTAATCTAATCACTTCATCTCATAGCTGAGCAAACAGTATCCCAGCGACGTTATTACCCAACATCACACAAAAAGTAAGCAACGAACATTCAAACCCAAGTACGTTAACTCCAAATCCATATTACTACATAGTGCCTTCTGATACCAACTCTCACATATACAGGGTGTAACTCTTACATATACAGGATGTCCCAAAAGTCTTAGTGCATTTTAAGCTCTAATAGCTATAGTATTTATTACATATAGTTTACAAACTAGATGCTCACAATTTCACCAGGTATGTGGAACAACGGTTGTTATTCCTATTTTACTTAGGAAAACAGGCCTAGAGATGTTAAATTACTTGTATAGTGTAACGGGGGTCAGTGACAAAACACCGAGCCTGGAGTCAGGAAGACTCATCTTCTTGGATTCAAATCCAGCCTCAGACACTTACTAGTTGGGTGACCATGGGCAAGTCACTTAACCCTGCTGGCCTCAGTTTCCTCATCTGTAAAATGAGGTGGAGAAAGGAATGACAAACCAGTCCAGTGTCTTTGCCGAGAAAACCCCAAATGGGGTCACAAAGAGTTGGACACAATTGAAACAACTGAACAACAACAAATATTGTAACAGAAGTTGGAAAGCCTGGATTATGAAGTAGAATCAATCCTCACTTGTCCTCAGCGTTATCATTTAGGTCAGCACTTATCTCAGATATATTCTACCTTCCTTCTTCCTTATGATCCAACATCTCTGAGCTATTCTGGTTCTCTGGGACTTTCCATGACTTGATCCTGTTGGAATGGCTGGGAGCACATCTGGTTACTCACTAAATGTAATAACTGAACGTCTAATGTATAAGCTATGTATAATATGTAAAAATATGTTTTAAATTTTTTTTTAAAAAGTCAACACCTGTGATAGTCAAATGATACAGAAAAGGTGACATGAAGTACATTAAAGTACTTTAATTAAGTACATTAGAAGTACACTAAAGAGGGGAGGTCTCACCACCCCTATACTCTAGTTCTAGAATGAGGCAAAAGTGTGAGGGCTGAACCTGAAAATTAAATTCTAATGACTATAAAATCTGATTAACCAGAACATCCCATTCCCCACTCACTGCAGTTCACTGAGATCTTACTGAACCACTAAAATAATAAACCAACCAAAATGCTCACTTACGGTGCTGGGGTTGACCGGGAAGGGCGATACATCTTTCACATTGATTCGCTGGACATTTTCTATTAGCAGGCCAAACAGAGGTAGATATAAAGTAGCGATCCTTGCTTGGTGGCTCTGAAATAAGACAAACACCTGAGGCTCGCTTACCGCATCACAAGAACATAAGAGAAGGATGATTTTTCAATAGAAGTCTTCACCTATAGCAGTGGTGTCAAACTCAAAGAGAAATGGATCTTTGGGGGCCATTTACTGACTTAGAAATCCATAAATTAACATTACTCATGTGGTAATTTTTAAAAACTTATTTTGTTAAACACTTTCCAATTGAATTTTACTCTGGTTTAGGCCGTGAGCTTAGCATGCTCTGCTCTAGTGTGGTATCTAACAGTCTTGTAACTTAACAGAGAAAATTATTAGACATATAAGTTTCATTTAATGTTCTATGGGCACATTGTTTATCAAGCACTCAATCAATAAGTACTTATTAAGCACCTACTATGTGCCAGGCATCATGCTTGGCATTGGGGATACAAATACAGCCCTTGACCTCAAGGGATTTGGAAATACAATATGTTTACAGATAAATACCGGACATATGAACAATCAAGACACAGCGATGGAGGAAGAAGGGTACAGTTATGTCTTCCACATCACAAGGGGTTAGGGGCATGGCACCCCCATGACCTGGAAAATTCACATACAATTTTTTGGCCTTCCCTTTGTACCTGAGAACAAGTCTAAATTTTCTCTTTTTCTTTTATGGGATGTTTACAGCACCTTATTGTAAAGTTTGGGTTGATGTTATACAATACTACATACATTTTATGCATTTCTGAGTTTCTAAACTTTTTCTATGTCGTCTGCTGGCTTTCACATGTTGTCTGCAGTTTCCACAAAATTCCCATTTAATTTCTTATGCCGACCCGCATCAAAACCACAATGGAGAAAGTCACTATCAAATAGGAGAATCAGGAAGGGAATTCTGTAAATAGATGTCATTTGAGTTGAACCTTGAAGGGAACTAAGGGTCCCAGGAAGCAAAGGGGAGGAGATAGAACATTCTGATAACTATAAGTGGCTAAACTCTTCATAAAACCTGAAAAACAAACCCACTTCTTATAACCCTGTATCTTCTGTTGCAGAAAACTCACCCTTGAAGCATATCTGTCATCAAAAGAATGCTTTATCAACAGATTCTTCAGCACACTAATTGCAATCTGCCGGACATCCCTAAATTCTTGTAGGGCATTTCCCACCTCCCTTAGCAGTAGGCCCACTAGGAAATGGTACTTGCAGAACTCATCTGTTAATGAATAGTCAAGCTGAAGATCTAAAATAAGAATGAACATTAATTTAATTAGAGCACAAGCAATATGATTTTAATCAAAAAAAAATTCTCCCTTTTTACTTATCGCAACTATATTCATGCCAAAATAGGTTAAATTATTAGATTTAGCTTCAAATCTTTAAGGGTTAATTGAGCAGAAGACTGCTCTAATAAAGAAACCAATTTCTTTTCATGTTTGCTTAACTTTTAAGAATGAAGAACTCATTTAAATACAAATCCTTGATTTGGCTTTGTAACAAATTGCTTCTAACTTAATTACTAAGTTAATGAGTCATTGTCTACACTGATTTTTAATATACTATACGGTACAGACAGCATGAAAATGAAATTTTGTTATGGTGAAATAAAAATTAAACTGTTTTGTCATAGTTCTATTCAATGGAAGGATAGAAGCCATCTGTAGTTAATATGCATGTAATATGCATGTAGTTAATATGCATGTAATTAAGAAAACTGATTTAATGTGTGGTGGTTGAATAAACTGTCTTATTCTGGTATATCCACCTGTTTCTAACAACCACATTTATTCTTTTCCTGTTTTAGTCATTATTAGCACGATGTGCATTCCATTAAATTCCAAAGGGGAATGTGAACAGAGGATATGAACTGACGCTAACCTAATGAGCTATGTAAATCAGAAGTTACTTTATTAATCATACAGTGACAGCAATGCACTCATCATCTAATCAATATTTATGCTTCTCTAAAAGCAAACAAGATCAATAGAAGCTTAAACTAAAATGAACAGCACACCACAAACCAAACTAACAAACCATCAGCAAGCTTAACAACAAATATTAACTGAAAGCATATTCTATGAGAGAGAGAAGCAAACACATCATCTATTTTGGGGGAAAGTAATGTTATTATCACCTTCATGACTTTTTTTTTTGAAAAATAATGGAGATAGTGATTTTAATTCCTCACCATACAAACTTAGGTCTACTTATATATCGTCGTTGTTGAGTCATTTCAGGCATGTCTGACTCTTTCTGACCCTATTTAGAGTTTTCCTAGCAAAGATTCTGGAGTGGTTTGCCATTTCCTTCGCCAGCTCATTTTGCAGATGAGGAAACTGAGGCAAAGAGGGTGAAGTGATTTGCACAGGGTCACACAGCTAGTTAAGCTAGTTAAGCTGGATTTGAACTCAGGTCCTATCTCACTCCAGGACTGGTTCTCTATCCACTTTGCCACCTAGGTCTACTTGTAAGATGAACTTAAAGTTTATGACCCTCTCCAGGTAAATCAAGCAGAACACAGAGAATGTTTATCTTTACAGAATGACTACTTTTAAAGTTTAGTTAATACCAAATCGAGAACTCCAAACCATGGGTCAGAGATTAGATCCACTTAATCTCTCAAAGGAATCAGCCTTACATGCGATATGTCAATGTGGAGACATTGGGGAGAGAATCATAGCTAAGAGATATCACTTGATCTTAGGTTCCTGTAAATTGCAACACATGAGAAAATGACCAGAGAAGGAAGTATTGGAATAGAATTATTGACAGGGTGGTCACCTGCAATGGCCCAAATATTTTCTCAAAAATCTATTAGCTAGGATCTAATTGCTGGATTATTTTAGTTGGCAAATAATAATGATAATATTTTTAAAATGATAATATTTTAAAAAATCATGAAAGGATATTATTAAAAGAGGGTTCTTATTCATGATTTTACATTACTCTACTTTAGTATGCTCTATACATCTTAAGGAGATGGAAACAAATTAATAAAATTTCAAAAGTATCACTGAAATGTTAATTCATATGACTGAAAACTGTTGTTTTCATATAAAGACCTATTCAATGAAAACATCAATTGTTAGTGTATATAGATGTGGCTAAAATATCACTGTATTATAGAAAGTAGGGTTCTAGTGTACTAAATAACCTTTAGGTGTCATACAAATATTTAAAAAGTTTAGAAAGAGATAGGGAGAGAGGGAGAGAAGAGAGGAAATGGAGAGGCAGAAGAGAAGAGACCAAAAAAAGAAGAGAAAAAAGAAAAATGGGGGAAAAGGTAGGTAAAAGACAGAAAGAGAGAAATAGCTAATGCTGTTTTGCACCAAAGGGGAAAAACAGTGCTTTGACAGCTTCCCTACAGATACAGAAACTCCAGGGGTGGATTAGATGAATTCTTTGGACAACAAATCAATACTTTTTTAAAGAGCGAGAATAAGAACTTTTACCTCTCTTCTGCTGTAAGCAGAAATGGCCCAGATGTAAAAGGCTACATAATTACTGGGCTGAAACTGCGCATGTCAGCACTTAATACTGAAAACACACTGTATCTCTTGGCTTTGGGCACTTTCCCTGGCTGTCCCCCATGCCCAGAATTCCCTCCCTCTTTATCTCTGACTGTGGCTTCTCTGGCTTCCTTCAAGTCTCAACAAAAATCCCATCCTCCCAAAGCCTTTCTCAAATCCTTTCCCCCTTTTAACACTTTCCTTCTATTAACTATTTCCTATATATTCTGTACATGGCTTGTTTGTACACACTTATTGTCTCATCCATTAGATTGCAAGCTTCTTGAGGGCAGGGATTTTCTTTTGCCTCTTTCTGTATCCCCAGTGCTTAGCATGGTGCCTGGCACATAGGAGAAGCTTATTAAGTGACTGACTGTTCTTAAATTCCTTGAAAGCAAAGACTGCTTTCACTCTTTGTGACTGTACCTTCCACAGACAAATCTTAATTATCCCTGAGTATGTTTTCCACAAGGCAGCTAGGTGATGCAGTGGATAGAGTACAAGGCCTGGAGTTGGGAAGACTTGAGTTCAAATCCGGCCTCTGACACTTATTAGACACTGGGTAAGTCACTTATAACCTTTGTTTGCCTTAATCCCCTGGAGAAGGAAATAGAAAACCTTTGCCAAGAAAATCCCATATGGGGCCATGAAGAGTTGGATACAACAGAACAACAAAATGTTTTCCACAGGCCCACTATGCCTTCTCAAATGAAGTCAAGTCAAATCATTAAGTATCTAATGTTTGTAGTAGTATAGCAAATGGATATTTCAATTATTAAGCATCTACCGTATGCAGTGTACTATGAAAGATGTTGGGGGTGATAGATTCTTAAGATACAGCACCTACCCTCACGAAGCTTATAGTCTGGGTCAGCCACAGTGTGGGGTGAGTTTCTCTTTGTTGAGAACCTCTGTATGTGTATTGGAATGAGTATACCTGATTGTTCACATCTGCATTCCAAAATCTATATTCCAAAATCAAATTATTTTGGAGTTATGATTTTGTTATCCACCTACTTCTTTTCTTCATTAATAAAGAATCAATATCCTTCCACATGATGTATGAGTACTTGTAGGATGCTAAACACAATAAACATTGTTTTGGCTGGCATCTTATAACAAGTTTGATTAATTTGATTCACTTGTGAGGACAGGAATTAATTGGCTATGAACTTTAGTTCATTTGTTCATTAAACAAATTATATATGTTTAAGGCACTGTACAGAACAGGAGACAAAAGATGAATAAGACATTCCTTTCAAACTCAAAGATAATACTAGACATTTATATCAAAACAACAATACAAACAAAAAAAGGCATGTGAATGAGATACACTTGTTTTTATGGCTGGTGTCATCACTATGTGAACAAGAGCTGTGAGAATACGAAAAACTAATGCATGGGTCAGAACACAAATGGGGCTCTTCCTCTGCTTTAAAGGGATGCCCTAGAGTTCCTAATGCACCTGAGGCAAAGGGTCTTGACATTTCTTGGGAGGTTCCTGATGCTAGCATAAAATGCATATTAACTGGCTTGTCACTAGTTTTGAAAATGCTAAGAGAGCTCAGGAAAGGTCTAGACGAACAGCGAAGGGAATTAGCAGCACTTGCATTCTTTTTAAAGGACGGAAATGCAAGAAAGAGCAAACGTCACACCTCACACCTACCTAGAGGAGTGTCATGCGACTCCACAGTTGGTGAAAGAAAAGCTAAGTCATAAAAAAAAAGGAAATAAAGTGGAACAAACAAAAAACAAGCTCCCATAAGTAAAATGGATTTTGGTTATTCAAGCAAAGAAAATTTACAAAGGAAAAAAAGTTACATTCTGACACAAGTTTATCTTATTGCTTGATAAGCGGACTAAATTCATTACCTAAAACATTTTGAAATTCAGTGATTTTTCCACAGATGCAATTGCCTGGCAGCTTAATGGAGTTCAGGGGGAGGGAAATGTCTTCATACGTTATCTAGCCCAGCTTGCAAAGTTCAAGATATCGTAATTGTACATTTGAATTTTTCTTCCCCACATCATAAATCAATGTCTATTTCTTTATTTAACATTAGGACAGCTGAGGAATGAAGTTACCTTGATATCTCTGAATCCTGCCTTTTCCAAATGGCATTGGCAAATTCAAAGGGATATAGTGTTCATGATTGCACACTACACGGAGAAATTCAAACTTGAATTCAAAAAGGGTCTGCAGGAAAAATGGTTTAGCTGTAAATAATGAGGCTTAGTAATTCACTGGATACTTTGCTGATCAACTTAAATAAGAATACTTACTGAAACCAGGCACCCTCAGTCTTCATCTCTTTCACCCTCTTGGAAATGTGTTTTCTACACTTTACAAACCCAAGAATCCCTAGAGTAAATTGTTTTAAAAATTAAAGCATTTGAACCCTCACCCACTACTGCCTTTTAGGTCTGTGAGTAAGTGACATGCCTAATCACAATAATCTGTAAGGTCCTACATGCTAAGTAAAATATACACTTCTGGTTTTGTACTATGGCAGAGGGTTATTTCAAGGTATGGCAGGAAGTTGTTTATCCGACTTTGGGCAAGGCATTAAACTTTTCTGGGCCTCATCTGGAAAATGAGGGAGTTAGACTAGATAACCTCAAATATTCCTTCTAGCTGTAAATCTATGATCCTATGATCCTAAATGACAGGGAGAAAAATTCATACTTTCTTTTCCCTCCCTCCATTTTTTTTCATGCCCTCGTGGGTCTAGGAGTAATAAAAGTATATCTAACACTAGTAGGTTGAGTTCAATCTCATAAATAGTGAGAGAAATGAAAGGATTTCTAAATGTGAATATGAGAGGAGAAAAGAAAAATCCAAAGATCTAGAGAAGACAGAGAAGAGAGGCTACCTTTGGATCTCCAGGTGCAAAACAGCTGATATAGTTGTTGATCTGTTTGAAAACAAAGCCTCTGTCCATAAAGGTGAAACATCTCTGCAGCAAGGGGAAAAAAAGTGAAAATATTTTCTGAAAAAGAGCTTTCTATATTTTTTTTAACATTAACAACTCAGCATTTAATTAAAATAAATCCAGGCATACTAAGTGCTATTAGATGTTCACCTATACGCTCAAGGAATCTGCTAATCAATTAAGTTATAGGGATAAAAAGGAGATGGTCCTTCAGACACACACAATGCCTCTCCTAGCTCTGTTTCTACTCTCCTGACTTTGCTACCGTGTCTGAGCTGTCTTTTCACACTAAAAGTTCCCACAATCCCTGTAGTTTTCTCATCCTGGAACATCCCTCCACTCCTGCAGAACCCTTCTCCCACTGGCGTACTCCTTCCAGAGCCACCATTTTGAGAAAGGGCTGGGTCCATTCATCTTTCCTTCCTCTCCTGGCTCTGCTCCTGACTCTCCCCCTCTCCCTTTCATCTCCGTTTTTTATGTGATATCTTCCCCCATTACAGTGTAGGCTCCTTAAAGGAGAGTCTTTCTTTTTCTTGTATTTGTATGCCCAGTGTCTGGCACATAGTAAGCACTCAAACATCTGCTGACTTGACTCAACCATTATTATTCTGGTGTACTCACCTTAATAAAAACTGCAAGGCTGTGGTTGGCATTTTTGGAGGCCTCTGGATTGTCTTTGAATTTCTGAGTGATGTGTGGCATCAGCATATTAACAACTGTTTCAACCACATGATGATAGGAAGCAGGAAATCTCTGGTTTCGCAACAACTAAGAAAACAAATTTAATACAAATACCTGTTATTATTTGAAGTTGAAAACTTGAGAACCAAAAAAAAATCATGGCAGATTCTGTGTGAAAAATACTTTTAAAAATTCAAGATTGTAACAATTCTAGTCAGAATGATTTCCTAAATATTATTTTCAAAGCAGTAGGAAAACATTTTTTAAACTCTAAGAGTATGTTACACATAAGCTGCATAGATAGGTTTCCAGTACCTCAAAGTTTAAAACTAAGAAAAAAAATTAAAGATTTGTAATTAAGCTACTCAATATAAAGATTTATAATTAAACTACTCAAATGTAGTAATCTTTGAATTGATCACATACTCCAACGTTGTGGGTTTTTTTTTTTTCCAATCAGGAATCCTTTTCTAACCAAATATTTCCAAAGTAAACTAATTGATTCAAGATTGTAAGGTAGATAGTTGGCCTCAGAGTCTGGAAGAACTGGGTTCAAGTTCTGCTTATTACTAGCAACAAATCAATTAACCTGTCAGAGCCCCCAGCCAACTCAAAGAAGATTCTCATTTGGTTTGGTTTTGGTTACGTCCAAAACTTAAAATAAAAATTAATTAAATGATTAACTAATAATTATGTTAAATTATGTTAAAATTATTCATAAATCAATTAATTGAAAAAACAAACTTTTAAATGATAAAATAATTTGTAAAAGACTATTGAGTATAAGATTATAAGAAGATATCAATCTGCATTGGTAAAGGAAATGCTTCACTGGCTGATCCCTATATTTGTTAAATCACAGTTCTGATTTTTTTAAAAATTAAGTTTAACAAAATCAGGTTTAAAGTATGAAAGTTATAAAAGATTGATCCTGTGATTATCTAAGACACTCATTATGTTTTATCAAAACCCATGCATGCTGCCAGGGATCACCGAATTGCTATCCTTGCTTCCTGTTTCTTACCCTGACACTTCCCTTTGTATACTGAAATGTGTATTGATACTTATGTTCAGAATTTAAAAAAAAAAAAGGAAATATAAACAAAAATACTCAGCTGGAACATGGAGTTTGTGACATGAAATAATATACTATAAGCCTGGAACAATATAGTTAAGCCAAATCATGGAAGGCTTTAAATGCCAAGTTGTGGAGTTTTCACTTTATTTTTAGAGGCAAAAGAACCACTCATGATTCTTTTTTTTTTTTTTTCTGGTGAGGCAATTGGGGTTAAATGACTTGACCAGGGTCACATAGCTAGTAAGTATCAAGTGTCTGGTCTGAAGCCAGTGAACTCAGGTCCTCTTGATTCCAGGCCTGGTGCTCTATTCACTGAGCCACCTAGCTGCCCCACCATTGCTGATTCTTAAGCAGAGAAATTACTTTCACCGCATTAGGCGCCATGTAAACATGATTCTCAAAAAGTGCTCTTCAGATGATGTATCAGCACCCACAACCTTCTTTGCAGTTAGTTTCTGTCTCACAAGGTTATTCTTTCCCAGAACCCTTTAACAGACTCCCAGGGTACTTAACATTCAATTCATTCAAAGCAGCTCTTAATGAGCTTAGGCTGCTTAGATATGTTTTATTATCAAGTCCTTTGACCTTCATAGAACTGTTATGAAAATGAACACAAAATGCTTTTTGACAGAGCACTGAAAGCCACAATCATAAACAACCTAAAAAGTATTTTCATGAAAACTCACTCTCTGCTTGGCATGGTGGCACATATCTCTAGGCCCTGCTGTTGCAGATGCTGAGGCTTGTGGATTGCTTGAGCTCAGGAGTTCTGAGCTGCAATGAGCTAAGTCAATTAATGTCCAAACGACGTCTGTGACCAATACAGTAAACCCCTAGAAGAAGGGCTCACTAGGCTGCCTAACGGCCATCACTAATCATCTTGACTTATGTCTTGTCACTGGACTTCAGTGACACTGGGGAAGTAAGGCTGATGACTGAGTGCAACTCTGCCTCACTTAAATCCAACTCATGAGCATATCACCCTCATGATATCATTGTTCCTCTTCAAGAACAAAGGACAAACAAACAATAAGAGGGGGCAATACCATTTATCAAATACGTACTATGTGCCACTAGGTGATGCAGTGGATAGAGAGCGCCCGGAGTAGAGTCAAGAAGAGTGATCTTCCTGAGTCTGAATCTGGCCTCGGACCCTTACTACCTGTGTGATCCTGAGCAAGCCACTTAATCCTGTTTGCCTAGGTTTCCTCATCTGTAAAATGAGCTGGAGAAGGAAATAGCAAACCAGTCCAGTATCTTTGCCAAGAAAACCCCAAATGCGGTTATGAAGAGTTGGACACAACTGAAGCAACTGAACAACTATGTGCCAGGTTCTGTATTGGGTATTGGGAATAAAAATAAAATAATAAAGATAAAGATCTATATTATAAAAAGAAAAAATACAAAAATAAAAATTAAACAATTCCTGCCATCTATCTATCTAGCACCTACTCTATACTATGTACTGTGCTAAGCACTTCCCAAATATTATCTGATTTGTTTTCAGTTGTGCATTATGTACATGGACACATTGTAAAACTTAAAAGGCTATAAAAGTATCATCAATTGTTTAGATTTTTTTTTTTTTGGCTAAGCAATGGGGTTAAGTGACTTGCCCAGGGTCACACAGCTAGTAAGTGTCATGTGTCTGAGGCTGGATTTGAACTCAGGTTCTCCTGAATCCAGGGTTGGTGCTCTATTTACTGCGTCACCTAGCTGCCCCAATTGTTTGTATTTAAACACACTAGTGGGTCCATGACCAATAAAGCAGTAGGATTCTCGTTAGTAAATTACCATTTGCAATATGAATTTTAAATATAAACATTTCCTGGTGATAACTACTCCTTCTATGACTATCCCTAAGAGTAAACACTATTCCAAATCTTAACTCTTCTCTGCCTTGAATAGCAGCATTCTCAAGTCACGAATCCAACTGAGATCTAGCTCAGAAGAATTAAAATGAAAAGGACTCCTCCAATATGAATGAAGTGATGCAAATTCAGGTTACTCCACTTTATTTAGATGTGCTTTTTTGTTTGGGCCTAGTGACAGACTCTGTATCTGTTGCCTGAAGACCAGCTTAGCTAAGTTTTGAGAGGTTCATTACCAGAAGGTTCATTCCAATTGTGGGGGGCACAATGGAGGGAGTGTATGGGTTTTTTTTGACAGTCACAAAACTGTCCACTAAAGTATGAAGGTTATCTGCATTAGTAAAGAGAGAGCCCATAATGATAAAATCCTGACTCTTCTGAAATATCTGGAGAAATACTTGTTGGAAAATGGGAACTCCAATTTTGCTTTAGATTTACAAAATATCCCAAGTCAAGAAATATGTGGATAAACTGCCTAAATGCCCCTCATACATAAACATCTCTGTCTGTACATTTTGGCTGAACCCTGCTAGCACGTGCCTATTATATTAGAAGTTTTCAATCTATTTTACACCATTTCAGAATAAGTCTATTATTAAATATTTTATGAAAATGACTATTGTTTTTGAACATATGGAGATGCCAAAGAAAGATGTTCTATTTTGCAGATTTCTCCAGTAAAGCTTATTTTGGGTGGGGGTGAGAAACAGAATTGTAATAGGATGATTTTTAGTTCTTAAGTGCTAGAAACAGACAAGAGTGTAATCACTGAATTCAGTTTTTTCCATCACGGTGATCAAGTTCTCACTCTCTGGGTGTGGCACAAGAAAAATCTCTTCTACTGAATTTTGCCCATGTTTTGGCCTAGGATAATACCTATGCAGCAGAGAGAGAATCAGCACATTGCCTTTGGAAGCTGTGTTTTTTGTTTGTTTCTTTGTTTTGTTTTTGTTTATTTGTTTTTTGCTGTGGGCTGACAGTCATCTGAAAGGCCTTGTAAATAAAACAGGTATTTCCTACATAAAGCAAAGTGATGCACACTGGAGACACTGTAGAATCTGGAAGGAAATGGTACTTTGGAGGACATCTAATCTGACTCCTTTAATTTAAAGATGCAAAAATTGAGGCCATGAAGCATGAATTGACTTCCCAGATATAGAGACCACACCTGGATCCTGGAAGATTAAGTATTCAAAGAGTAAGAATGTTGAAACTTCAGAAGTAGTAAGTGGATGGTCTGGGACTCCTCTTTACAGTATAGTATGTTAAACATCTTCCTCCCAAGGTGGTTCTCTTCCACAGTTAGCTAACATTTCTAAAAGTAAGTGTTTTTAAAAAAACAAAAAAAAAACAAAAACAAAAACAAAACAGAGGCAGCTAGGTGGCACAGTGGATAGAACACTGGCCTTGGATTCAGGAGGACCTGAGTTCAAATTCGGCCTCAGACACATAACACTCACTAGCTGTCTGACCTTGGGCAAGTCACTTAACCCCACTGCCTAGCCAAAACAAAACAAAAAAAACTCTCTGTAGTTTGGGATAAAGTTATAATTAGCTTATAGCAAAAGTTTTACATGGTTGCATTTTAGTGGTTACTTTCAGAGCACAGAAGAATTTTTCTGAGAGTTTTGGTATCTTAGGAGTGAAAAAAACCCTGGGAAATCATAATGTAACTAAGTCAGAAATTTGGGAAACTAGCACTGACTTTTGCTTGGCTGTGAGATTACTAGAGGACCTTGGTCTATACAGGAAGGCACCTGTCAAAGGTCATCATGTCAATCAGTCAATAAACATTTATTAAGCACCTACTATGTGCTTAATGGCACCTACGATGCCAGATATCGTGCAAAGAGTCAGAAATACATCCAAAGGCAAAAGACAATCTCTGTTCTCAAAGACCTCACAATTGAATGGGGGAAACATGAAAACAACTGTATACAAACAAGATACAGATAAGACAAATCGGAGATGATCCCAGAGAATTTGGGAAAGAATTCTTGTAGAAAGTAGGATTTTAGCTGGGATTCAAAAGAAGCCAGGGAAGAAGCCAGGGGAGGGAGATGAGGGAAGAGTAGTCATTTTGCAGATACAGAAACTGAGGTGCAAAAAAATGTACATGACTTGGCCAAAGTCACAAA